TTTTTTTAAATTGTATGGGTTTTTTTAAATAATGTGGGCTTTTTTAAATAATACAAGTTTTTTTTATGTAATATGGTTTTTTTTTTTTAAATAGAAACTTGCACAAATGAAACTAACAAAAAAAAGCCCCAAATTTTGTCGTGGCTGCGACCAATGCGGTGCTACAAAAATTCCATACGGTGTTATTACAAAAACTCCTTACGGTGTTATTACAGATCACCTCGGAAGAACATTTAACTAGGATGCCTCCTTCTTCATCACTGTAAACTTGTACTCTAGTCTCGTGATCGGACATTTTTTGTGTTTAACTTTATAAAATTTAAAAAACTAATAGTTACTTTAATTAAAGTAAAAAAAAAAAAAAAAATGCGTGTAGCAAAAAAAGTGTAGCAAAAAAACGCTAAAAAAAGTACACCCGAAGAACAGCATTCATTAGCTTTAAATTAAACCGTAATATTTTTTTTTAAGCGTAAAAAAAAACTTATACGAATAAGATCACGTTAGTATTGGTGTACCACGCCTATATAAAATATTTATTTAACTTAAGCCGTTTTTCACCTTTCTATCTCACTAGGCAATGTATTTTTTATTTATTTATGCTTTCCAAACGACAAGCAATTGTTCAGTCAGCACCTCAAGCAAGAAAGAAAAGTCTAAGAAAGAAACTTAATTAAAATGTTTTTAAAATAAAAAAATAAAACTCTACTAATATTGTTTTTTAAATAAGCTTCTTAACCCCTCGCAAACTCAATCTAGTTATTTATAAAATAATAAATAGTGTAGGTTGCTTCTTTACATTTGACTTCCGGTATTTTTTTCTTCATTTAATTTTAAATTATTTATTATTATTAATATTTTATTAATCATCCTCTGTAAAATAAATTTACAAGGTAAAAACACAAACTAAGAAAAAGAGATAAAAAAGTATTATTTAGGAATGTTTTCTTCAAGTGTCTTTTTAAAAATTGTTCGAAATAAGTTTTTTTAGGCCCAAGAAAGTAGAGCTGAGAAGAATTATGTCGTCAGCATAAGCTACAACACAAGTCAAGTTTCCATATATAGTAGTATTAACAATTTCATCATTTCTTATAGTTTTGAGTAGCTTCTCAGTGTATATGTTATATAGGTAGGGTGAGAGAATCGATTCTTGTCTCACTCTTTGCTTAAGATCAAATGAGACTGATTTGCATCCTAGGTATGAGACAGTTAAATTGTATTAAATCAGTTAAATGTTAGTTAAATGTTAAAAAATCAGTTAAATGTTAAATTGTAAAGTAAAATTTGCAGGAATAGAACTCCTTTGGGCTTTCATCATTTAAACTTAAACAATATATTTGGCACACAACTGCTAGTTTTTATGCAAGTTTAGGCTAAGGAAATTTTCCGGAACATTTAAGTAGGTTTGTTTTTACGATTTGTTTTAAAAAATGTTTAGCAAACAAATGCACTTTTTCATATTTCCGTTTCCGCAAGGTGTTGACACTTTGAAGTTGGTTCTAAACTCGGTTTCATACTTACGCCACTGAGCAGTTACACAGGCAGGCAGCCTACCTTAAAACATTTTTGTTTACATTTACGATTAACTCTTTTTACATTCTAAAGTTTTTAGCGGTATTTTTATAAAAAAAGCAGTTAGCTCAGTGACTAGAGCGTTTAAATAAGGATATGGACAAAAATAAGAAATCTAATCAGTAAATGCCGTTTATATAACGGTGCTGTGTATTATATTTTCTTAGAGCTTCGTTAATGAACAAACAAACAAAAAAAGTATTTTCGGTGTATCCAATTTGTAAAACGAATATTTCACAAGCTGGATATTTTTAAATTATTGTGCTTTGTCCTCCTAGTGTTCTAAATGTTAAAGTTTTATATTTCATTTGATATTTTAATTCGTATAAAGAATCTGTCTTGAATCTGTATGTTCATAAATACTTAGATTTTTGAAATAATGTCATATTAAACAAAAATTATAGATGCATATCATGGATGTCTCACGGATGGTAAGGATTCTGTGATCTGATGTGGTTCAAAATATTGTTCAAAATGGTAATATTGATATCGTTAGATAGAGTTGTTCCCGCTATATTTAATTTTCATTTAGTCAATATGTTTTAATGCGGTTTTTCGTTTTATATTTATTTTTTAGACTAAGTTTTGTGTATTGTTTTTTAGAGCATAAAATAAATACATGCACGATAAAAATACATAAAAACGAGTTTTTTAGGTAAATAAATTTGAGTTAACAAACTGCAGGGTTTCTTTTTAAATTTACTTAAACCAGTCTTAAACAGTTAAACTAAAATGTATTTGTTGGATTGCTGTAAGCAACCAACAATAAACTAAAAAAGGCGTTAATTCACACGAACAACTTTGCTCACCGCGTGCCCAGACACTTGTCCAGATACGTAAGACGACAACAACAAAAGCAATTCCCCGTATCAGCCCACGTTGTTGGATTCATGATACATTGCTAAGATTATCCAGTACATCCTCAAGATGTAGACTATCGAAATAAAGCCCCACTAATTATCCCCCCCCCCCATAATTGGACATGATCACCTGAGCAACGTAAACCTAGACGTACACCCCCCCCCATCTCCTTAGAGAAAAGAAGTGATTTGATTATATTAAAAATTGTTATTGTTTTCACTTAATTTCAGTTTTTGTTATTGTTTTTACTTAATTCCAGTTTAATCTAACTTAGTACAGGTTCAACTATAATTCATACCGTTTAGTGGAGTTGATCATTTTAGTGAATTTGTTTTATAAAAACATGCACCCTTATAATGGAAATATTCGTTTTAAATTTAGTTTATACTCTCAAAAAGCGACAAACACAATAATTCTGTTTATTTTAATGCAATCCGTTAGTTGAAACATTTTGAAATACATGTATTTCAAAATGTTTCAACGAGCCCTTAGAATGTTTGCTTATAAAACGTTTTTCGAGTTTAAGGATCCTTGATTTTTTTTGAAATTGTGTTTGTTTCCTTTTTTAAAAACTGTTTATTTAGGTTCTTAATATATAATCCATAGTATCCAATAAGTGTTAAATAACAGGAGCATGGAAAAACCTAAAACTTTAAATTTTAAAATTTATATTTGAAAAACACTTTTACAATTAAATAAAACATAAAAGTTTCAAAGGTGTAAAAAAGTGCAATTTTTTAAAGAATGATTTTAATCCTTCTACACATTCTAATTTTTAAAGCTGGTACCAATATCCTACTGCTAGAAAGCTGATAACAATACACTACTGCTAGAAGGTTGGTAGCGATACACTGCTGCTAGAATACAATAAAATACACAGGATAGCGTTACTGTGTTATACAAAAAAGAAAAATAAAAAAATTTAAAAAGTTATTGCCTTACTACTACTGTGAGTTAAACTCACAGTAATAAAGTAATTTAATAAGTAACTGAAAATGTTTAACTTTATGCATTTTCAAATATTTTAATTGTAAATTTTTTTATTTTTGCGACTAAGTATATTTTAATTATTATTATTCTTAGTAGCGTTGTGTGAAACAATACTTAATTGCTGATTCTTACTCTTAGTTGTTATTTCAACAATATATAGTTGTTAATTCTAACTCTTGTTTGTTATTCTAACTTTTGATTGATATTTCAACTGTTGGTTGATTTTTTAATTTTTTTCAACAACACTTAGTCACGTTTTAACATTTGATTAATTTTAATTGTTTTTTTTTTTCTGTCTGTATTACTTATTTTGTTTAAATTAAAATTTTAGTGTAATTAAAATACAAAAGCTAACCAAAAAAAAAGCTACTAAAAAAAAGAAAAAGGAAGGGGGGCGGTTGAGAAGGAATAAAAGGTGGCACACTAATTTTAAATAAAGTTTAAATAATTTAAAATAAAAGTAAACTTTACTCGGACATTATTATCAAACAGTTGGTTTGGAAACTAAATTTTTTTATCATTTCAGATGAAATAATATTTACACAGTTAACCTTCGTGCAAATTGTGCTTCTTTAAAACAGTTTAAATATATTTTTAGTTTTCGATTTAAAGAAAATAAAGAATGAACTTTTAAAGCTGTTGCGAACGACTTCTTCATTTTGTATCAACTTTTGTAATATAATATCGTATGTAATATAAATATTTGCAACATAATATATTTGTAATACATACATATATATATATATATATATATATATATATATATATATATATATATATATATATATGTATATATATATATATATATATATATATATATATATATATATATATATATACATATATATATATATATATATATATATATATATATATATATATATATATATATATATATATATATATATATATATATATATATATATATATTATATATATATATATAAACAATTTAAAAATGTATTCTTAAAAATAGAGAGCTCAATGTTCTTAAAAAAACAGAGCTATATATCCAAAAATTTATATGAAATTTAAAATTTGTCGATCAATATTTAGTTAAAAATAGTAAAAAATATGTATGTATGTATAAAAAATATGTATGTATGTATGTATAAAAAATATGTATGTATGTATGTATAAAAAATATGTATGTATATATGTATGTATGTATAAATGTATGTGTGTAAGTGTATATGTATCTTTATTTGTTTTTATGTATATACGCAATAATTCTTGATAAAATTGATTACCGCGCTTCCTAAACACTTTTTATTAAACTATTGTTAAAAAAACTTGTAACAAATTCATAAACAAAAAAAAATCAATTTTCCTGGAAACATTTTTTTTGACTGGAGGTTTTATCATTAACATTAAATTTTTTTTTTTTTCATTTAAAATTTTTCATTTAAAAGTTAAATAAAAAAAAAAAAATCAGAAAATAAAAATAATAAAATCTCAAAATCTTTTTTTATTAGTTTCAATGTTTTTTTATAAATAGTATGAGCAGCGGGCGATAAAGTTATGACTACCCTACAAAGTTTACCAATTAATTGTTTGTGAAGCATGTTTTCTTTGATAACACCGTTTTTCCTTTTCTTTTAAGTAGGGAATTAAATAAAAAAAAGTACAAAGTAACAATCAATTTATAAAGAGAACCAAGTAGATTTTTTACCGCAAACGCAAATGGCTGATAAAAATGCAGTTAATACAAATACTTTTTCAATACCTGACTATTTGGTATTTGCAGCAACGTTATTGATATCTAGTGTAATAGGTATATATTTTGCTTGTGGAGGAAAGCAAAAAAATACAAAAGAATATTTAATGGCTGGCCGAAATATGTCTTGGTTTCCATTATTTGTGTCTCTACTGGCATCATACTTATCAGCGATTACTCTATTAGGAGTTCCATCAGAAATATTTACTTACGGCATTCAATATATTATATTGTCTTTCTCTTATTCAATAGTAGTACTTGTGAGCTCAACAATTTTTTTACCAATTTTTTACAATTTGCAAATGACCAGTTCAAATGAGGTTAGTTTTTAATTTCATTTGCTTTTACTCGTGCATTTTTGAATTCTACGTTTATGTGTTTTCTATTGATCACTTTTAGACATGTTATTTTTAAATAGATTTTTTTATAAAAAATTTTTTTATTCTTTTTTAGTTTGTTTGTTTTATCTTGTTATCCGCCTAATCTATTGTATTAAATAAAATCTTGTGACGGCAGGGAATAATTCAGCTCTAATTTCTTGTCTTTAGTGACAAAACTAAAAAAAAACATTTAGAAAGTTTATTTAACTTACAAATTTAAAATTTAAAGCATCACGAACTACTGAAAAATAATTGCATCATTGCTTTATATTAAAGACATAAAAAAAAAAAAAGATTATTTAATAAGACTAATAATTAATAAACAAAACTAATCATTTACTTTATGTCCGTCTGATTTATTCTCCACAAAAACATTTCATCACACGCAGTAAAGTTTACAATCATCTTTATCTAAAAGTTTCAAAAATCAATTTTTATTATTATTAAGTTTAATTTATACGAATTGCAATTGAAACGTAAGTTTATTATTGGCTAGAAAACTCATATAACTCCACAAGCCTGATGGTGGTAACTCTACAGTTTGCTGTAGTAACTATGCAGTTTAAGTATATAACTATACAGTTTGCTGTGGTAACTATGCAGTTTAAGTATATAACTATACAGTTTGCTGTGGTAACTATGCAGTTTAAGTACATAACTATACAGTTTGCTGTGGTAACTATGCAGTTTGCTGAACTAGCTCAAGTTTGAAATTATTGATGAGGGATTTACAAACTTGCTTGGAGTAGAGTTCCAATTATTTTTAACATGATTGTTGAAAAAGTTGTTTTGAACTAGGCAGGTTATTAATTTTAACTATTAAATTTGCAGCGAAAGTGAAACCATAAATAAATGGAATGAATTCAATATACCAGTTGATTGAATTAATTTTGCTTTTAAATTTGAATTTTTGAATAAGACCAGCAGGCTTTATTCTGTCACCAAGTCACGTAAGGCAAATTTTAGCACATTATTATTTTGTAGTCAAATTGTTTCAATTCATATAATATTTTTGTAGCGCGATGTTGAATTTGTTCATTTGCATTTAAGTTTTTTTAAGGTGAGCCCTTCAGACATTGATATTCAGAGCATATTCTAGCTGGCGACGGATGTAAGTTGTGTAGATGTTTTTCTAGATTTCCACTTCTCTGCTAACAAAGATATGCTTAAAAGCATCTAAAATTTCAATTGTCTTAGCAACAGCGCTGAATACTTGATTTTTATACTTTAGATAACCATGTTAAACACCAAGGTCATTTTCCAAGTTTGTTGGTTCTAGTTTGATTTTTTTGGTTACCTCGTTTGAGTAATTTTCATCAATCAAATAGATATAAGAAGTAGTTTTGGTTTGACTATTGTACACTTAATTTTTTTTTTTTTATGTTAAGTTGCATCAGCTATATATGAACTCAATTGAAATTTTTATCAATGTCAGGTTGCAGACAAAGTTTAATTTTTGAAGTATTAACTACACTGAGTACTCTTGTGCAAGCATTTTGCTAATGCCTTTGCTGCTAATGTGTTCTTTTAGAATATTGATATAAATTATAAACAGTGTTAGACCAAGAACTGAGCCTTGCTCAACCCCACTAGTAACCTGTTCCCATCAATCCAATTTAAAATTTTATTAAGCTAATTTAATATTTTATTAATCTTTGTAAGGGAAACTTTATCAAATGCTTTCAAAAGATAAAAAGAAAAAGAAACATCAACAGGTAGATTACGTAGTGCAGTGGAGGTCAAAAAATCCGTTTAGATTTGTAAAAAAATTTTTTGCTGACAAATGCATAATGACATATAAAGAGAAGTTAAAATTATTGTTAAAAAAAATTGTTAAAAAATAAGTCATGTATTTATTTACATGGTACAGAGTTTTTTTTTACATTATTTTACTTGGTACTGAGGTAATAGATATTGGTCTGAAATTAAAAAATTATATACCGGTGGCAGTACTAATGATGTCATTAAAACGAGGCAGATTTAGACTTGATAAGTGTAAAAAAAAGTGGTCTCAAATGGCGTGTCATCACTAAGTTACCATTGTCGCGATTTAAGAGATTTTCCTGCAATTTAGACCATTGTAATCAATCAATATTCTCAGTTCTCAATCATATTTATTCTGAAAATAAATTTTCACGGCTATTTACACAGAGTATTGAAATACTAATCTCAAGTAAATACCCTAAAAAATAATTTATATATATATATACAAATAATCTTAGTATTAATAATAATATTAATAATAGTAATAATAATAGTAGCAACAATATTAACAATAATAATAACAATAATAATAAAATAATTATAATAATTTAAATAAATCGGTATTTCTTTCCATACAGTAATCGTTTACACATACAAAGTTACAGTTACAAACAGTAATAAACTGACAAAACATAACAACTAACGATGACATAAAAACGACTATAAAAAATTATAAAGATTTAGTAAATATATTAATATAATCATAATTGTTATAATATAATAATCAAAACATATTGCTATCAAAAATATTATGACCAAATGAATAAATAAAATATAGACAGAAAAACACTGAGAAAATCAAAATACAACAAAAGTTGCAACAAACGTTACAAATAAAACAAAAAATTACATAAGGCAAAAAAACAACAATAAAAACTTAAAAAATTAAAACAAAAATAGTAATAATGTAATACGCGGTAGAATAAAACATAAGTAATAAATGGTTAAAATGAAAATATATACAAATAGCACATAACTGTATAAAAAATTTATATATCACTAAAAACAATTAATAACTAAAAAAACAAAACAATAAATGACTAACAAAAAATAGTAAGCAAAACTATATACGTTGAAAAACTGAAGAAAAATAAATGAATAGTAAAAGAAATATATTTAAGAAAGCAAAGGAAATATATAAAATAAACAAAAAAAAATTTTTGATTTGGCGATCGAGGTTCGGATGTTTAATTTTACGCGTATAGTTATTAGGAGTAATAGAAATTATTTTTGGTTTAGTCCAGTTAATTGAACCACTACAATGTCGGGCGTGTTCAACTATTACTGATGCGTCCCTGTTACATTTAGTTATGTTTTTCTCGTGTTCATTAAGGCGTGAGAAAATTTTCTATCATTATATTTCTCAACTATTATATTATTATATTATATATTATTATATTTCTCAACTATTACTGATGCGTCCCAGTTACTTTTAGTTATGTTTTTCAAGTGTTCATTAAGGCGCGCCTTGAACACGAAAATAAAAAATGAACACGAAAGAAAAATTTTGGCAAAACAAGAAAAAAAAAGTGGAAATTTTTATTTCTTGTTTTGCCGACATAACTTGCACCACATGAACAATCTAGCTGATAGACACCAAAATAAATATTTGGATGCAATATTGATTTATTGCGACAAAATCTTAAGTAAAGATTTCCCATAGGGAAAAACAGTTTTTATACATACTCTACGAAACTGTGTTTTAAGTATAATGCTTAGTTTTGGTATTTACGGCGGTATGACAAATTTTCAGGGTCTATTTACTGGATTATTGTATTTTAATTTGACAGCAAAGATATATTTAAATTTTTGGCGCCCTGGGGCACTGTTCACATTTTCTATACAAACATATATTAAGTTATATTAATCACTATAAAAAATTATAATTTTTTATGTGAGTTTTGTTTTGCAAATGTATTTATAATGTCATTAAAGTTCATATCTATGGTAAGTGCAGATTCTATAGATAGAATTGCTAACCTATTAAGACGATTACCTGTCATTTGCGACCTCAAATAAGATTTAACCCTCTTTATTGCCGAAAATGATCTCTCGGCTGAACAATTGGACGTTGGGCAGCATATATATATTCTTAACGCTATATCTACATAAGGATATTGAAGTTTTTTAGTTCTGATCATTTTATAAATATCTATTATATTAGGTCTTACGTTTTTAGCTAAACTTATGAAATAGCTTCTGAATTGTATACGCTCGTTAGCAAATGAAGACGAAAGATTTTTATATACATTTTGAAGTACTTCTGCTTTTTTGTAAATTTCTGATGGCGAAAGTTTTATGATTTGAAATAAATAGTTGAATTTTTTATTGGCTTCATCATAGCAAAATTTTCTTCTTTCTAGTTCATAATGAAGTTTATCAATTATAGCATAATATGTATTAATTCTTTAAGAGTCTCGAATTTTAAAATTTATTTCTTCTTTTCTTTTTTCATCTGCAGTTAGTTTTCTTTTTCTATTGCATATTTTTCGATATGTTTTGTGTCCTGACTTAATAATTGCTCTCTCATCATAGATATCAAACATACTCCTTAAATCAAATACATATCGAATTAAAGATTCGTATAAAATTACTACTGTTTCTAAACCAATCTCAACTAACTTGTTTACTAGTTTTGTTGAAACTTTCTAGTATATCACCACATAATGTGGCCATTATAGCTGTTTCAAGACTATCTAGTTTTAAATATAGCCCATTAGCTTCTGATCTTGTAATAGATTTTTCTGTTTTATCATCTTTGATAAAAGACAGTGCATTAATTATTTCAATCCAATTTTTGTTTAAACTAATACACGCATCAGATCTTGGTGACCACATGATATCTAATAGTTTTTTAAGTGATACATTTTCTGTTTTATTCAAATTCTTCTGAAGTATTTCCTATCTATAAGTGGAGGCACTGAAAAATTGGTAAATATTTTGAAGCAGAATAAAAAATTCAGAAGCATAAATACAACAGTCCACAGAGCATTCACCAACAAGATTTAAAGATTGCGCTGAGCATGGTACAAATGTTGCTAAATGATTGACTATTTTAATGCGAGCTTGAAGTCCTGTGAATCTACCAGACATATTAGACGCATTGTTGTAACTTTGATCACGACAACTGTTAATATCTAATCCATGCGATTCTAAAACTAAAAATACAGCATCTGCTAATTCTTCAGATTTATGACCAGAATTGGGTAAAAACCCTAAAATCTTTCTACCGCACTGCCATTCTTTTAAACATACCGAAAAATGAACGACAATTGATCTACATGGCTAATGTCAGGAGTAGATTCAATACTTATGGAAAAGTATTTAGCTTCCTTTATTTCTTTCACCATTTGTTGAATAACATTATCTGCCATTATACTTATGAACTGCTCATATTTATTAAATGATAGGTACGATGTTGAACCTTTTCCTTTATTTCCAAACTTCTCAATGTGTTGTGCTAAAAAAGGATCAAACTGAGCAATAAGCTCTAAGCTCATTATAAAGTTTCCATTATGAACAGATCCAAAACGATCATCATCACCCCTAAAAGACATTCCACGAGAAGAAAGGGATTTTACAACAGCTACAACTCTTGTCAATACATTTTTCCAATAATTTATTTCTGTTTCTTCTTGATACTTTAGCAAACGATGTAGTGCCACCAAATAAATAGCAGTTAGCACAAAATATTGATCCTTTACTTTCTGAGTAAACCAAAAATGTTCGGTTAATTTATTCACCATTAACAAGAGTAGATACAAAAATACTTTTTGAAAAATATCGAAAACGAGTACGTCTTACCCCACCAATTACTTAATTACTTGAGTGTAAATTCTTTTTGAATTTTGGAAATTATTGTTCTCTAAACTCTGGTTAAATCCATTAATTGATAAATAATCTATCGTTTTTTGATTTTTTATCCAATTGGCAGGATCATTTCTCAAAAGAAAATATATTTTTTAATATACAAAAACCAAAAAATATTATTCACAGTTTATAACAAATTATATAAAATAAATTCTACAACAAACATTCAAGCATTAGATAATAGAGATAAATGCATAATATAATTTAACTAGAGGATATAGGTATCGTTTAAAATGTACACAGTGTACTATACTTATTAATAACTTACTTTCTTACATAGTTTTACCTTACAAGCAACTTAAAAAACAGTCTACCTATGTAGATGTTTGTAATTGTAACCTACCATGAAAAAAATTAAAAAAAGCTTACTCAGGAACAATACATTGTTTAGGAAGACTGTTATGTTCAACCATTGGCAAACGTGGTGTATCATTTATTTCTTCCGATTCTGTAGACAATAGAGTTTTACTCGTTTCTGTACTGATGTTATTTATTAATGTAAGATTGTCTGGATTTGATAGGTTATCTTATTATATTAACAGTGAATCTGTGATCATCTTGGTTTCTATAGAGATATAATAAACTTTATATAACATGCATGTACCAAAAGATATTATTTTTAAATTATATCAAATTTTAAATAAAGATTTTACAACAAAAAATCGGGCTTGTTATGTTCCTGCATGAACAAAGGGTGTTTCATTTAGTTCTTCTGATTCTGTAGTATATAGAGTTTTAATAGTTTCAGTACTGCTCTTACTTGATAATATTGATGTTAGATCGTCTGAATTTGATAGGTTATTCTTATTAACAATAAAGCTGTGATCATTTTGATTGCTTGTATTATTTACTACATTTTCAACTGAAAGCATAAATAACGATTACTACACGATATCTACATTTTAGATATAAATTATTTACTTTAAATAATAAGTAACATAACAATATGTAGTATAAATAACAATATGAAGAATAAACAGTAAATAACTTAACAAAATGTACCTATATGTATAATATATTTGCAAAATTAATAAAACGTATGGTTTTCTAGCTAAATAAACTTACTTGGTAATATAATGATATAAAAATTAAATAAAAAACAAACTGATTATTTTAGCACAAAGTTTATTGAAAGTTTAAATCAATTTTAACGAGTTTTTTTTTTTCGAAAATCTAAAGACAATCTTTGAGGAAGTATTTTATTTTTTAAAACTCATTATACCTAAGTGTTTTCGTTAATAAAGTTATTTAAGCAAAAATGAAAATAATAGGTAAAACTCATTGGAGGAGTAGATCTCGGAACGCCAGCGCGGAAGTAATTAGCTTATCCATTACCCTACAGCTTCATACAATTTTTATATTTATAATTAATAAATAATTTGTTTTGACACGTGAATTTCAGTATTAAATCAACGTTTTTGGATGAATAATTGGCGCATAATTATGGAAATTTTGCAAGTTTAATTTGATCGCCTTTTGAGTAATATTTTTTTTCTGCTAAGCAAATTTTTCTGAAAAAAACTAGAAATATTTGGTAAGTCTTTAAGTAGGTCTATGATTTGAACATAACAATAATACAAAAATTTTCGTGAATTGATATAAATAGACTATTTTACAATTTTCTAAAATTCTAACATTCTGAAAACTGGCGCACTGTCAAAAAACGGCGCTTGGGAGTTTAAGCCCCCCCTGCCCTTCCTCCTATTAAATACGTCTCTGTTTGACAGTTTATAATTTTTAGCGATATCTGAAAATTGTTTGTATGAATATCCATTTTGAGAAAACACATTAACAATAAGCTCAACTTCATTCTGAATATTTTGTTCTGAACATATTTTATATGCTCTTGAAATAAATCTATTAAAAATACAAATTGCTACATTAGATGAAATCGAAGAATGTGGTTTAACTAATACATCACTTATTGATTGCTAGCGGTATATTGAAAATTCGTGTTTATGTAGAAATTGATTGGTGGAAATACAAACGTCTAAAAAATTTAGTTGATTTGATAATTTTGGTATTCATTAGTATACTGAATGGCTGTATCTTGTGAATTCCAATGGCTGTATCTTGTGAAATCCAAAAAAGAATTTGCGTTGTCAATATTAGAAAATCGAGCGCGACTATCATTAATGTACCTTTTACTAGTTATTAGTGCAGAATTGAAGCTTAAAGCTTGTTGCATAGCATTAAATTCGATAAATTGTAGATGGGATTCCCTCATAATATATTATAATATATTATTCGTTAATTCATTGCCATACTAACTATGCAAACATTGCTTGGGGTAGTATTTATGAAAGTAAACTTAAACCTCTCTATCGGCAATAAAAGCATATAGCCTACTTTATAAATTTTAAGGATCGTTTTACTCACGACAAGCCTCTTTTATATGATATGAAAGCACTCAATATATATGAGTAAAATGTTTTTAATATTCTTTGTTTTATGTATAAATACAAGACCCATCTATCACTCGTTTCTTTTCGTTACTTGTATTTACAAAGAGTTAGAAATAAATATATTTTTAGGAACGATAATTTAATTAGATAACACTTTTCTCAAACTAATTATGGAAAAATTTTTATTTTATTTCGCAGACCATTTTTATGGAGCAGATTTGCGATTTAGAGTCTAAATCGAAGGAGAATGTCTTAAATCGCGACAATGGTAACTTAGTGATGACGCTCCATTAAAGACCACTATTTGTTAAACTTAACAAGTTTAAATCATTGCAATGATATCGTTGTTGTTTTAATTTTTATGAATTTTGTATAACATTTTTAGTTTAATTAGCTAAAACTATATAAACCGAAATACCACTATTAAATAATAAAATTAATATATAACTGAATATGATGTTTTTTATCAATTAAAATATTAAAACATTATGTTATTTTCGAAGCCACCCGAAATCGTTAATAAGACCTTGTTTTTTTCCAGGAAGCTAAAAATTATGATAAATCAGTTGAAAAAAATGGCGGCGATATAGTCGGTACTTTTTTTCTGTGAGCTTTAGGTGTTAAAAAAACGTTGTAATACATTTACTAAACGTTTTAAACACGTCTTGTGCCCACCGGAACGATGCAAAAATCTTTAATAACTAGATTCAGTTAACTGTATTGCAGAAAAATTCGCGCAAAATTATGTTTGTTGATTGCATTAACTAAATATTGAAAATATAAAGATTATTTTCTTACATTATATAAAAACAAACTTATTGCATTTTTATGATAAAATGTAATTTATTATAATTAACTAAATGTAGTATAATATAGTTGTCTTATAATGTTATGTATTAAAATATGTTATTTAATAATACATTTTAAATACATAAGATAACAATATTAACTTATTAATAATAAATTATTATCATGCAATTTTTGAAATTATAATAAGTCTTATTATAATAAGTCTTATTATAATTTCAAAAATTGCAGTTATCTAATAATTTCAATATTTAAAAAATATATTAGTTTTTTTTTAGATTCTAAAATTATTTTTTTTATGTGCTTAGAGTACAAGTAGCCTTGTTGATAAATATCATATTAAAATTATAATATGAATATATTATAATTTTAATATATTCATATTATAATTTTATATTCATATAAAATTTTTTTTGGTCACATTTATATTTGTTTACTTGTAATAAGACAAATAATAAAACTTGGTTCAGGACTTAAATTGATTTAAGTTTAATTCAACTTAAACTAGTTGAATATTTAGCTTAAATTTTAAGCAGCTTAACTTAGAAATAATATTCAGAAACAGTTTAGTTGTATCATTGCTAAAAGTATGCTTCCCAGCACTGTATGCTTTCCTTGCGCTCATTGAAATATTACTGCGTGTGTGTATTTCTTTTATTGCAGCTGGATACCTGTGTCATTAATAGCAACTTCCTATATAACCTGATTTTAGATTAAATGTTTTTGTAAAGTTACAACTTTTTAAATTGGCTTTTTGTTTAATTTATCTCCTAGGTACCGATCATTGTTCCACTGCTCTAGCATTAGTCTTTTTTTTCTTATATTTACTAGATTTCTTTGCTTTTGCTTTAATTAACCATTTATTTTTCTTTATTTACATTACATCTACAGTTTTGTTATTTAATTTTGCTCACGTGTAAATAAATCTTTTTTAGCAGAGTTGGATGGTATTAAATTAAGTTTATGTTTGTATTCATAGTCAGTTTTATAAACATCCTAATCATAGAAGAATGGCATTTATGCTCTTTAACTAGTTTGTAAATATGTTTCTCTTTCCTAATTTTAACTTATTCCAACTTAAGAGGGCACTTGTGTATTTCATATGACTGCAAACTAGACTGTAGTATTTCATATGACTGCAAACCAGACCGTAGTAAACTAATTTTAAAAGTTTACTAGAAAGCTTAGAGCGGCTCTCAAGATCTTCCAAGACTTGGATGGCATTTTTTTACCACTGAATCAATTCGTTGTTTAAGTGTTATGAGTTGATCAAGATGAACTTCTTGTAATTTTACACTCTTAAGTGGTTTGGGTTCTACATTTTCCAGAAATATTATAAAATCATCTGGAATTTTTTTTTTCTCGGAAATTCGAAGATTTTAACTCAAGTTTTATTTGTATTAATATGCATATAAGGTTTACTAAAAAATTCTTTAGTCTTTTCAAAAGTTTCAAGTCAGTTTTTCTTTTACTAAAAAGTTTTTCTTTTACTAATTCCAGAGTAAGAGCTGTTGCTGAGTCATATGTCAAATTTATGTTGAAAGATTTTGAACTAGAAAATTAAATAATTCTAAACTAGTTCTATCTTCTTAAAGAAACAAATATATCATATGTCAAATTTATGTTTTCAGACTTACACTCAATTGAAAGATTTTGAACTAGAAAATTAAATAATTCTAAACTAGTTCTACCTTCTTAAAGAAACAAATATATCATATGTCAAATTTATGTTTTCAGACTTACACTCAATTGAAAGATTTTAGACTAGAAAATTAAATAATTCTAAACTAGTTCTACCTTCTTAAAGAAACAAATATATCTTGTTTACAAAGTTACAAATTCACAAAGATATCTTGGTTTAATTGCTCACTTTTTTTTATATATGTCAGCAATAAATGTTAAAGCAAAAGTTATAAGCTTCTGAATTTATGCTTTTGGTTTTGAGAAATTTTGAAGAGAGCTTTTAATGCTGTAAAAAAATGAGATTTGAGTATGAGTAACAAGATATTTTCAAGTAATATGTGATGGAAGTAAGCAAATGTAGAACTTCTTTTCTTTTTATTTCCTTATAAAATCAATGATAATGCTAATATCCTTATATAAGATATATTGGTGTTGTAATTTTGGTTCAACATGGTTTTGTTGAAACTAAGCTAAAATGAAAAAATTTATTAGATGAGCACAATATTGATATGGAAGTTTTTTTGGATCTGAAAAGTTTGATATGTTTTTTGTTTTTTTTTGGGATATGTTTGCCCAACATGTTTTTCATATTCCATTTAAAAAAAGTAAATTATAAAAAATTGTTTTTTGATGTTTCGTTTTTATTTGGCCACCAGTCCCCAGATGTTCAAATTATTTGTTTTAAGTCCTGAAATTTATATATTTTTTTTCAATGTGCTCCCATAAATTTATTTTTGGAGAGATATTTTGCATTTTAAAAAAATAATTAACAAAAACATGTAAACTGTTATATATTTATAATTTTACCTCAATTATAATAAAAACTTTTAATAACTAAAAGTTTTTTTTTTTTAGTATTTAGAAAAAAGATTTACGCCTGGTATCAGATCTCTAGGATGTGTTCTTGTTATGACACAATATGTAAGTTTTACTAACTTGAATATAAATAAAATCTTTTTTTACAGGTTTTTTAAACTTTTTATTATCAATAAAACATGTCAGGTCCTTGGTTATATGTGGCATACTTTTAAAAAAATTTAAAAATTAGGTTTTCTTAATTTACTAAGCAACTAATATATTTATTTAGTTATTTTAATCAGTATATAAAAACATTTAAGTTACTTAAAAAGCTGTAAAAATATTTTTTTCCTTGGTACATTTTTGTTTTAAAATGCTTAAAAAATATAATATAATTTTTAAATTATCAGTTAGTGCTTTGAAACTTAAAATAATTAATTTATAAAGTAAACTAATCAATTTTATTGCAAGTCATGTTAAAAAATTGGTATTTAATCTTGACATTCCAAAAAATATCAAATCAATTTTTATTATATCAATGATATAATAAAGGTTCTATAGCTTTAAACATATATGGTAAATCTTAGCGTTAAGTTTTTAATAATATCATCACCGATTGTGAATGTAAAATGTTTAAAATCAAGTTAATTATAAAATTTAAAGCCTTGATTCCAATCAGGTCAATTTAATACCAGGTTAGGATTACGATAATCATGATCACCCTGCTACTTGCATTACAATTTGCCACATGTCCTGCTGCTTTCTCTGAATTTCTGCTTTCGGCAAAGACTAGATGCCTTCTCTGAATTGCTGCTGTTTTCTCTGAATTTCTGCTTTTGGGATAGACTAGTCTTTAGGATTCATTGAGTCGGACTAATGGTTGAGTAAAAACTAGAGACAGTTTTTAAACAAAAATTGTCATTTTAGGAAGATGTAAACCCCATCTGGCAATGTTCTTGTAGAAGGGCTCCTAATGGCTTAGATTTCCTATCTATGCCAGCCTATCAGATGCATGAACTATAGAATAGGTTCTCAATACTCAGCTCAATTTTTTTGAGGCTAGTTGATCAAAATATAATCTTAATTCTGTGGTATCTGTATCACAGGTGCAGCTAAAATTTATATATATGTATATATATATATATATATATATATATATATATATATATATATATATATATATATATTTAAGTTTAACTCTATCAACAACTGTATATATGCAAGAATATTCAATAAAAGTTGAAAGCTCAGTGCCCCAAAATGTAGCAGAGGAGAAATCATATTCAAAATCAAATGCCATTTTAGAAAACAATGATATAATAATTTTAAAAATTTCCCATACATAATAAGCAGAAAAGACCTGTATGCTAGCATGGAGAAGACCTGTATAACCTTAAGGAAAAGATCTCATGCCAAACTTTATGAAAAAAGCTTTTTATATGTGATCAGTATTTTTCATTGAATACACAGCAGAAGATTTCTTTAATTGTGGCTAAAATATTTGCAGTTAAACAATTTTTTAAAGAGTAGAAAATTTGTTGAACAATGTGTTAGGGATCAGTGCAGTTTTCAGAATTTTTTATAAATTTTAACCACATAAAGTATTTATAAAACTTAGGGAAAATACTTTTGAAATACTATTTTCTGGATTACAAATCTTTTTTTGGATTTCAAATTTTTTTACAAAAATTTTGTAATACTTTTGTCTGAATTACAAACTTTAGAAGAGTTTAAATAAAAATAAGTTTACCAATAATTAGGTATCTGACAATAAATTAAACTGTTTCTTTAAGGTGTACACGAAGAGTGTGATCGTTATATTCCAAAGACAAATTTACGGAAAAGTTTTAAGCAAATATTTCTGCTATATTTTTGGGAAAGATTATAAATCAAACCCATGTATGTGAGATTAAATGTTAGATTTGTCTTTGTTAAGGACACCATTATAGTTTTTGCAAAAGTCTTTAGAACCTAATTTCTACGATAAAATGCAAGATTATACTATACCTTTTTTATAGATTTCTTGCACTTTTAAAAGATGTTCACGAGATTTGTTCCAGTAAAAAAAAAAAAAATTACAATTAGAGATAGGTACTGCACCCAAAAAAGTAAACCATGTTACAGAATGAAGTTAAAACCATAAAAACCATATTACAGAATGAAGTTAAAAACCATAAAAATCATGTTACAGAATGAAGTTTGACTTGAAACTGACAAAAAATAAAAATAAAGGCATATATGCTTGTCTAAATCAAGATTGCTCAATTTTCAAGGAGCTCAGTTTTCAGGAGGAAAATAAATAAGACATTTTTTAGAGAGAATGAAGAGACTTTTAAACTAAATGTTTAAACTAAATGTCACACAATTAACTCTTGTTTAGGGTTTGAAAAAGACAACATTTTTCAGCATTAATGCCAGCAGAGCCAATGATTGAGCCTCTCAATTAGCATTAAAGTCACTTAAACATTAAAAGTACAAATTTTTTTTTGTCAAGGTTTGTGTTTTTGGTTTATAGGATTGTAATAGAGAATCTAAAATATTTTAAATTAATTTTTTTTTATTTTTTTTTTAATTCTATATTAGATCACATTGAGTTTTATAAAAGTAAGTTTATGTGAGTAATGTAAGTTAGGGGAGTTGAGAAAAATATATTTTTTTCTATTGGTAAAATGATTAACTAGTTGTTACTGTCTGAAATGATTAACTAGTTGTTGTTTTTTTCCAAATTTTAATCTTTAAAATTTCAAATTCAAAATTTAATGACTAACAGCATTTTATTCATTTTTTTTTACCTTTATTAAGGATGCTGACTATTTTATGTTAATGTTTTATGTTAATTGTTAATATTTGCTATTTGATTATGTTAATTGTTAATGTTTGCTATTAAGTTAAAAACCTAATAATTCAATAGTATCATTACTTTGATTAGAAGTCTGTATAACACTTAAACACTTTGATTGTTATATGCTTAAACTATTTCATAATTATACTTTCATAACGTTAATGAAGTTAAATTCTGACAATAATCAGATTTTTGTTGATATAATTTAAAAAAGTACATTTAAGTATTTAAAAAACAATATAAAATATATAAAAAAATTATAAAATAAAAATATTATTATTTTATAATGGTATAACATTATCATTTTAAATACTTAATTATATCAACAAAAGCCTGATTATTGTCATAATTTAATTTCATTTGAAATTTCAAATTTAAAAATTTTCAAAATTTTTAAAAGTTTTAAAACTTTTTCAAAAAATTTCAAAAATTTCAAAGTTTCAAACTCAAAAACTATTTTGAAACAAAAGAATCTTAAATCTTTTACTTCAAAATACTTTTCAAAAGTTGTTTTTTTAAATATACTTCAATATAGTGGCGTAATTAGGTCAAAAAAGTTATGGGATGAAATGGTAATTTAGGGTGGCTATGGCAGCCAGAATCAAAATTTGAGTGGTTAAAACAGAAATTTTCCAAAAAGAGAGGTCGGGGGGGGGGTCAATTGCCCCTCTGCTTCCCTGATTCTATGCCAATGCTTCAATACACTTATGTTTAATACACTTATGTTTATAAAATGATTAATCAATAATATTTTTGCTCTCTGAAAGCAAAATGTTGTAAATAAAATTTGATTACTATCATAGAAAAAAAATTACTAAAGCAAAAAGCATCTGCTAAAATAAATAACTTATATGCAAAAATAAATAAACTTTCTGACAAGAAAGTTAGATGCATGCTACATGTGATAGCCACGCTTGATTTATGGGATGGCTAGATGTAGGCAGAGACAATTCTTCAAATAAAATGAGGGGGATGAATCCATAAAAAGTACTAACTGGTTTTGTAAAAAAAAAAATGTCCTCAAAATTAAAATTTACCCGACTGAATTGTGCTAAACACCTATGAGTCAACTAAATGCTTAAAAAAAAGAAAAAACATGCTATTCTCCTAATGAATTTATTAGAAGATAATAGAAAGAGTAGCATGACCACTATTAAAAAGATAACAGAAAGTAGCATAACCACTATTAAAAAGACAAAAATACATACTCATGAGTAGAATCAAGTAGTAGAATCTATGTAGGAAAAAATGTTACACAATTTAACATGTATACCAATCTATATGAAGAATGAATGTGAGATTAGTCAACTATTTAGATTAGTCTACAACTAAATTATCTTTTTACTCCTTAAAGTCTTTAATTCAAATATTTTTGACAAGACAGACACAGTTCACTTCTGTTTAAGATCAAGAGTATTTATAAGGCAGCTGGGCATGTGATAGGTTGTACTTGATTACATGTTACTAGTACTATGATAATGATCATCCTTGACCTGATCAGACCTGAAATATACGGAACAATATGAAATGTTAGAGAGTATAAAAAAATTTGAAAGAACTATGCAAAATATTAGGAGTTATAAAATATCAGGAAATATATAAAATACTAGGTACTAAAAAATAAAAGATTTTTTTTTTTTTTTTTTTAGATTTTGTATCTTGCTGTGGTTTTATATGCTCCAAGTTTAGCATTAGAATCAGGTTAGTTTTAATATACATGCACTCATGTATTATTATCATTTTGACTTAATTTTTTCTTTTTTAAATTTTCATTAGTTACATCTTTTATAAGTCAAAAATATCTGCAAATAGGAAAAAGAGTTACTTTAAAATAATGAATTTTGAAAATATGAAAACCTATGAGTGAAATGAATATTTTAAAGAATCTTCACAAATGCTGTGATAGAAATAATTATAATTTTGATACTTTAAGTAGAAGCTTTAAGCTAGAAATATGAAAGCAAAAAGCTAATAAATATGAAAGCAAAAAGCTAATAAGTCAATAGAAATTGTCTGAAATGGTAATGTTTAAATTTATTTTTGGAATACTAATGTCTATTTTTTTTTTTTTTTATGTATTTTGAATTTAAAATAAAAATTACTAATAAAATTACTAATAATTAAGTAATTGCTTTATTATTACTCACAACAAAAAAAGTTTCAAGTTCAAAAAAGTCTGTTAATTAATTGAATTAACTGAATTGGGTGTGAAAAATGTTGTCGGATTTTAATGCTTGCTGAGAAAGATTTTAAACAAAAAATATTAGTATATATAAAAATTTATAAACTTTATTTTTTTGTATTAGTTGCAGTTTTTTAATTTTTATATATACATATTTTTTATATATTTTAATATATTAAAGTTTTTAAAGGATTTTTAAAAATATTCCAACTTATTTGTCAGTTGCAGGAATACCGCTCACAGCAACCATTATTAGCACAGGTGTTGTTTGTACTTTCTACACAACATTGGGTGGCATGAAAGCAGTAATTTGGACAGATGTATTTCAAGCTGGTATAATGGTGGCTGGGCTAGTTGTTGTTATGGTTATTGGACTTATAGAAATTAAAGGTTTCAAAAATTTATTTACAATTGCAACAAAAGGAGAAAGAATGACACTCTTTGAGTAGGTTTATTATTAGTGAAATATTTTTTTAAATATTACTAAAGTTATTACTAGTCTTTTTTAAAGTCTTTCTGTGAAGATTTTTCTGCTAATTGTTATGCAAATTGTTTATCGTTTATAAATTCAAAACTAAAATAAAATTATTCTTAATTCATACCTTAAAAATATTGATTCAAATATATTTTAAATTTTCTATTTGCTTTTTTTCTTCTGTGGAATGCTAATTTTTTTATGTATTTTGTCTTTAAATTATATTTTTGGGAGTAAATAACTGAGTTTTGTTAAAGTTGAAATTCGCTAGCTACTTCAAGCCTCAATCTGTTACAAAAGTAAGATAAGATGACTGCCAGTTCTAAGCAATCGAAAAATAAGATTTTTTGTCAAGACAAGAGTATAAAGTTGAGTCATTAGCAAATAGAGCCATTTTAGATATATAGTTGTTAGGAAAATCATTAATGTAGATAAGAAACAAAATAGGAGCAAACATAGAATCTTGATGTACCACAGAATTCAATAGTCAAATTAGAAGAAAGGTTCTTTGCAAATAGTTCAGGCTTATTCTTGTGAGAGATAATAAGATCAGTACTATGAATTAGAAATGGAATGTTAGAATTTTCTTTGTTAATGATGCTATTAAAGATTTTTTAAAAGTCTCTTGAGTGTAATTACTGAGATAAGATATGAGATTTCGTAAAAAAGGAGTAATGGGGCTTAGCATCAGACAGCACTTTTTTAAAAAAACATTGTTTTTTTGAACAAGATAAAAAAACAATTATGGTTAGATAAAGCAATTGCACAAGAGGGTGAAATCCATGGAGTGGAATTAAACTTGACTTGGAACTAATAACAAGAAATAAAAATTTCCATATCTGCCTAGATCCTGAAGGTTATATAGGGGGTGCATTAATCAGTAGAGAGAGAAAAGACATCAGCCAAAGTACTGTCACAAAAAAAAATTAGTTTTAGGGTAGAAATTATTATTGTAATGATAGGGTGAGTCCAAAGAAGAAGTATAAAATTTATAGAGATAATTGCATGGTCAGAACCACCTAAAAAAGAACAAAGCAAAACTGAACGCAAGCTAAGGTCAGGGAAGTGACACAAATTGAGGAGTTATAGACACAAATCAAGAAGTGAAGGTAAAGGATTAAGTTTGACTGGAAATAAGTCAAAAAGATAACTTTCTGAGTAAAAGATTTAGAAATGCAGAAATTATAGCCAGGGCACGACAAACGTGCGAACATTTATTAAAAAAAAGATAGAAAAATGATCGTCATGTTTCCTTACTTTTGCTAAAGCAAATGTTGGCGTTCGCTTAAAATTTTTTTAAACGAATGCATAACTTCAGCAATTTTTTTTCCAAATAATTATGCGATATTTTTTTATTTGTTATAAAAAAACTTTTTTTCAAATAAATAACAATTTTTTAAAAACTTTTTAACAACATGTTTTATCAATAACAATTGACATTATCAGGTATAAAAAATTAGTTACAATTTCTGTATATAAACAATTTTTTTGGCTACATTAAAAATTTAATAGTTTTTTACAATAGTTACCATAGTTACATAAAATAAATAATTACAATGAAATTTTACAAAAAATTTTACAAAAGGTGTGAAATAATTAATAACAAACGAAATAAGAAATAAAAAGTAAGATAATTGAGAAATTATATTGCTATAGTAATAGTGTATGATTTTTATTGTGTATTAAGAAGAGGTTTTTCCATCTCAATATGAATACCTTCCTTAATGTTGAGTTCATACTTGGAGGAAGCTCTGTCAATAATGAAAAAGCAATCAGGATTTGTTGAATTTTTGCATTTTTGTGATGAATTGAGGTGTTTGTCAATATGGGAAGCCTTATCTGAATTTAAGTGTTCTGAAACCTTTGTTGTGTAGTTTCTGGTGGTTTCACTAATGTACCAGCATTACATCTGGAACATCACCAGCATTACAGCTGGAACAAACAAATTTATAGACAACAAAGAATTTTAAACTTGAGGGTAAGGATGAAAACATACTACTTATTTTAAAAGGAGTAAAAACTAGTCTTGCTTTTATATTATCTTTACAATATTTTTAATATATTTATTTAATTGGTGTTGAAGTGTTTTTGAAATTTTTCCAATGTAAGAGAGTTTAAAGTAATTTATATCAGATGGTTAAAAGATGACATGTTTTCTTTAAGAAATTTAATAAATTTTTAAGGTTTTGTCAATTACGTTCAAGGGGAAAATTAATTGAAAAAACCTTAAAAATTAATTGACAAAACCTCAAAAATTTTACTAAACAACCTTATATATTATATAATAAAAGTTATTTTAAAATAAAACTTCCTTATAATTTAATAAAAAATTATTTGAATGAAATTATTTGTGAATTAAATGACAGTACCCATCAATGCTGAGATCTGTAGAATAAATAGCCAAATTTTAATTAGTCTCACAAAGAGCAATCAAGTCTGGTGAACAAGAGGTAAGATTCAACTGATGGAAGGTTACTTTATAAACCACGATTATTTGTGAAAGATATATTGAAACAGCAAAATGCTGGTGATGATTTTTTATGTTTTATATTTTTTGTTACTTATACTTGGTATGATTTAAGTTGAAAACTTGCTTTTTCATATTTTGAACATTTATATATAAAGAATGGGATCCTAAGCAATGAGCTATGTAGTTGTCTCTATCCTGATAATTAACCAAAAGTCATAATATAGGGCTCTTTATGTGATCTTGAAAGCGCATAAACCAAAGGCAGGTACACCACTTTTAATACTCTGATGTTTTACAACTCTTGATGAAATCAGCCTTTCTGAGAGCTACCACAGAGTTCGGAAATCTTATTTACAGCTGTCCTCAGAACCATTAAACTGAGTTTTATGAGATAACAAGAAGAGTTGTATAGCCACTATCAAGGAGGCAGTAGCAAAAATCTATGAGTGAAGTCAAGAAGATCCAGCATTCGTCATCTTACATCATCATCAGAAAACAATATAACAAAGGTTTATATCTATGCCAGTTATATCTATGCCAGCCTAGTTATATCTATGCCAGTTATATCTACCTAGTTATATCTATGCCAGTTATATCTATGCCAGCCTAGTTAATAAAGAAGGGTTTTGAGGTTAGTCAACAGAGCTATTGTGCTTACCTCTAAAGCCTTTCTCTAAATAACTTTCTACAAGACAGTAATTGGATGCAGTCAACATCTGCCCAAAGATAAGTATTTTTATCGAGACACCATCTCTAGCTTTTACTCAACTCTCAAGGAATTTTTAGTCATAGTTAAGTCATTATTTCTCCCTTATTATCTCCATTATTTTTGCTTAAAAAAGCCCCGAAAGTTCTGTAAGCAATACTTTAAAACACTGATGGGAATATTTTGAAAATACTACAGGAAAAAAAGATTAAGGTGATTGTAGATTTTATAGTTGTAGTCACTAGTTGATTACTGTGCTCACACTGCATCAGAGTTTCTGCATCAGAGCAGAACACAAGCATACATCAAGTAGCTTACAGGTGAGTGAGCACTGTACCAGAGGTTTAGACAGAATAAAAACATACATATAGGAACTTATGGGTGAAGGAACACGACACCAAAACATCAGGCAGAATGCAAACATAAATAAAATAACTTATGGGATAATGAAAACTACGTCAGAGATTCATATAGAACACAAAAATAAATGTAGTAACTTATGTGTGAGTGAACACCATGCCAAAGATTTAGACAGAACACAAATATGAATTCAAACACCACGCCAGAGTTCATACAGAACACAAATATACAAATAGCAACTTACAGGTTAGTGAAAACTGCAGTAGAGATTTGGACAGAACACAAATATACATATATAAAATATTACAGGTGAACACAGTAGTTAAGACACCTCCAACTATGTAAAAAACAAAAAATATCTATATCTATATATTAATATATCAGACTTGATGACAGGAAATACACTTCCTCTAGCCTTTGTTTACAAAGCAAATCCTACTATTCTAAAAATTTTTTTAAAGAAGTAAATAAAATTTGTAAAAAAAGTTTAACTAGTTTCACAAAAGTTATCCTAATATTTCAAATTTTTGTCCTTGTCTGTTTTTGTTTACGGAATCTTTTTTTTACGAATCCTTTCAAAAATAGTCAGACCCTTCATTCCACATTGCTTTCATGGTAATTCTTTTATAAATATCATTATTTATGACAAATAATGCTAATCACTAAGACTTTTTCGTTATAAAAATGTTATATCCTTTCAAACTTTATTTCATAACACTTTGTTATATGTTAGTCAGGTTAACCTTACACTTTCATCTTTTTTTTTACTTTTTTTTTACTAATAATTGTTAAAGTTTAATTTACAAAATCAATATTGGTTTTTAAATTGAGTTAATGGCTCTGAACAAATTTTTTTCTTTTTGGTAAATAATTGTTATCAATATCGATTATACATATTTCTAATCAAGCAAAACCTGAATTATCTCCTGTTTTATAATCTTTTAAAAGTAGCTTCCATTTTGTTATATGTTAGTCAGGTTCTAAGTTAACCTTTTCACTTTCCGTATTCAAAATTTTTTCCATTAATTTAATTTGTTTTAACTTAATTTAATTTGTTCTGTTGAGGTAAATTTAAGAGGAATATTCAGCTTTTCAGTTTTTAATTTTTATGTTTTTACATAAGTGTTTTTAAAATAAAAAGAATCACACAAAGAACAACCACTTAGTTAATATGAAATTATGATGAAATAAGCAATAAAATTCATTTTAATCCGGTTTTAAAAGAAGCAGCTTTGTAATCAAATTTTTTCAATTATAACTGTTTTGCAAAATTTAAAAATATGGTTGAATTCGTCTAACTTTTTTACTTTATTAACTTTTTTTTTTTATTTTTTTTTATTTTAATTCACCTCCTCAAGGCCGAGAAGGCCACTACAGACGAGGAGGCTACTTATTTGTGGCTATAACCCTCTCTCAACTCTAAAACTCTGAAACACAAACCTTGACGAACAAGGCCGCTGCGCGGAGAAACGAGTTGAGCGCGGTATTACCAGGGACGTGGTGGGGATAGAACTAGACAAAGAAAAAGAGTTTTGATATATTGATTTTGATAGATTGTGATAGAGATTAATTTAAAAAGAAATTATTTAAATTATTCTATTAATTTTTCAGTTGAGTGTATAGCTGTGTTAAAACAAACCTTGGCAAAAGCTAAATTTTTTACTTAGTATATTATGCAAAATCTGTTTAACATTTTATAAACATTTATTTTAGTTTATAGTTGATTTTTTTTTTTTAGTTTTTTTTTTTTAATTTTTTATTTTAGTTTTATTTTATAGCTAATAATACTGAAGTTAATATTTTTCATAATTTTATGTTTAAAAGCTTTAAAACTTTTTAATTTTGAAAGCGTTTTTTTAGCTTCAACCCTGATCCAACTGTTCGAAATACATTTTGGACTCTTCTTATTGGTGGAGCTTTTACTGCAATGCCTTTATGGACAGTCTGTCAACCTGCTGTTCAGCGATTTCAAGCTGCTAAAAGCATAGCTGAATCAAAAAAGTATATATTTATCTTTTGGGACATATATTTATAATTTTGGCAAAATAATCACAAAAAAGAACAATATAAAGACAAAAATACTGTAAAGTTGAATACTTGCTTTTTTAGTTTTCATTTTAACAAAAGTTTTATTATAAATTATTGTTTATTTTTTAATACATTAACTTTTTATTTTTTCATCATTAAAATTTATTTGAATATAAATTTGGTTCTTCTTTTTAAGTAATATTTAGAATTTGTGAACCCTAACTATAAAAATAAATAATTATAATTATATATGTATGTTAACAACCTTTATTCTTTTATAATATAATGGGCATAAAATGCTACTCCATGACCATTAAGAATTAGTGAGGTTAAACAAAGATGTTTTAAACATGTAAGCAAAGATGCTGTTTATAACAAATAAGTAACCATGTAAATGATTAGTGTAAAATTTTTTGGGCACTATTTATCTCTTCTACTGTCATATTTTAAACAATAAAATTAAGGTATGGTACATAAGTATATATAAAACTATAAAAAGAAAAGTTCTGAAAAATTATAATTTAAAATTTTAAAGTGAATTTATTAGGATTCTATTATGAATCTATTTTTGTTTATATAAAACATTTTTTATGTAAAAAATTAGCTCAAAACATAGCAATTTAAAGTAGAATTTTTTTTTACTTGTCTCTAATAGTTATTTAACGCTTGAACGCTTCGTGCAAAATCCCTGACAAATCCATTTAATTATTTATTAAGATAGTCTAAATAAATGTTAACCACCAAACAGTTCAAAAGGAAATAAACTTTATTTTTGAACTATTTGATCAAAAAGAATCTTACTTACTGGTAATGTTTCTTACCATAACCTGATTTTAAATTTGTATTGCTTTTGTGTTTTGTAGCATATCCCAATATGCAATAGTATGCTAAATAGCAGGAGTTATGCTAAATGGCAGGAGTATCTGATTTTTCAATTTTTTTATCAACAGGGCACTTCTAATGAATATTCCAGGTCTCATGTTTATTGTTCTTTTATGTGCTTTGGATGGTTTAATTATTTATGCAGTCTACCATGAATGCAATATTGGAGTTGGTGGAATAAAAGCTGTAAAGAGTAATGATCAGGTAAGATATTTCTTTGTTGTAAATATTTTTTTTTATCATTAATAAATATATTTTATTATATAGTTTCTTATTAATTTTATAAAGGTGCCACCATATTTTATCATTCACAAAATATATTTATATACAGGGCTTAATTTAACAGTCGGACATCGGACATTGTACGGCTAAAACCTCAGATTGTCCAATCAATTTACAAAGTCATCGGACATTTTGTCCAGTAAGATTTTTAATTCTTTAAAATAAAATAGTATTCGTTGATTTGAAATTGACAAATTTAAACTTAATGTAAACTATTAGACAAACTTATTTTTTTGTCTAATAGTTTACATTAAGTTGATAATGGAGGCATTCATTCCCAAAAAAAGCGCTGTTATTAATTGTAGTTTTAATGACTGTTCTTTAACAGTTTTATTGTTATATTATTAAATTTAAAATTATTGCTTATTTAAAACAATAGAAAAAGTCAAAGTATGTTCGATTGATTACTGCAAACGCCGTGGACACCAAAAAGCAAGGGAAAGCTAGCAGTTTGAAAAATTTGATAATAAAAGATTTTACAAATGTGTTTTTTTAGAGGCTGAGATCGATGGAATATTTTTTAAAAAACATTAAAAAAATATACATTTAAATATTAACGTTATAATCATCCAAATCATTCTATTTTAGCTTGAGGGGTTTCTCGGTGGCATCCTGGTCCTATATCTTTATTTGTATTTTTTTTCTTATTATTTATTATATATATATATATATATATATATATATATATATTATATATATATACATATTTATTATATACATATATATATATATACATATTTATATATATATATATATATATATATATATATATATAAATATATATATATATATATATATATATATATATATATATATATATATATGTATATATATATATATATATATAAATATATATATATATATATATATATATATACATACATATTGATATAAAAAAATTAAACTTTGCTTTTACTTATTTAAAGGCAGTTAAATCACAATATAATATTTACGGGCTATTATTTAATTTAAAAATTCCACGCACTGCATGTCATTAAAATTCGATCAATTCAACGAAGAACATTTTATGAGTTCTACAGGTTATTATTTATCTACTTTTCAAAAAGGCACTCCTTCTTTGGCAGACAAGTTTTATAAAGCTAGACCTTTTTAATCTTTTATATATATATATTAATCTTATATATATATATATATATATATATATATATATATATATATATATATATATATATATATATAAAAATAATAAGAAAAAAACTCAATAAAACTTCAAGTCTATCTAAAAAAATGTGCAGTATTGAATTTAAACTATTTTATTTAAAATACAAAGGTCTATGATGATAAAAATTCTGAATAACAAAAAAAAAAAAAATTACAACTACACTAGCCTAAAATAAAATAAACTGGGAAAACATAACATATATTTGGATTGGATAATTGGGTTCCGTAAAACTCAGATACGCCAGAAGCTAGTCTAAAAAAACCCATCTGCAGTACTTTTTTACTCTCGGCATTTAAAGAACTATCTTTTTCCTGTGTTCCTTTTAACAAAATAAATATGAATATATGTAAATATTGGTGAAAGTTATTTGTTTAAATTTTATTTCAAAAATTTGATCAGACAATGTCCGACCAAAATAACTTTTAGTCGGACATTTTGTCCGGGACCTTATAAAATATTAAATTAAGCCCTGTTTATATATAAAATGATATAAATTTATATATACAAAATGAAATATATATATATATATATATATATATATATATATATATATATATATATATATATATATATATATATATATATATATATATATATATATATATATGTATATATATTTCTCTGTTGTGAATTTTTTTTTTTTATATAGTTTCTTATATTTTTTTTTATAAAGGTTCTACCATATTTCATCATTCACAAAATGGGTCATTTAAAAGGTGTTGCTGGTTTATTTACATCGTGTTTATTCAGTGGTGCATTGAGGTATTTTATGCATATTATTAAAAGTTATTTCCTTGATTGCAATTGAAAACAAAATATTTTGAATGTTTTTTTGTTCAAAATAATTTGGCTATATTAGAAAATATCTCATGCTTTCTTCTAGATAATATTGATCTCTATTTGTATAGTTGTTGATTAACATTGTTAATTGTTATAGCCAGAGTATTTTATAGATTAGTTGTAATATCTAACTGAAATAAGAATACAGTTTTTCGAAAACATAATCTGTTTATTTATGTTGTATACAATGCTTATTTTGAATGAATTGGCACTTTTGAGTGTCAATTTAGTTATATTTATTAGTTAATAAAATCCCCTCTACAAGCCTTTATATTTTATCAAAACTTTGTGAAATATTCAACATTATTTTGGCCAATCTAATTGAGTGGTTGCTTATGTTCATAATAAAAATAAATTTTATGAGAAAATTTCAAGTTAATAAATAAAGTTTTAATTTTTGTTATACTTTATTCTTCTTATTTCCTTGATTGTAATGTAAAACATAATTGTGTAATATAATAATTCTTTATTCTCTCATTTAAAGTTATTTCCTTGATTGTAATGTAAAACATAATTGTGTAATATAATAATTCTTTATTCTCTCATTTAAAGTTATTTCCTTGATTGTAATGTAAAACATAATTGTGTAATATAATAATTCTTTATTCTCTCATTTAAAGTTATTTCCTTGATTGTAATGTAAAACATAATTGTGTAATATAATAATTCTTTATTCTCTCATTTAAAGTTATTTCCTTGATTGTAATGTAAAACATAATTGTGTAATATAATAATTCTTTATTCTCTCATTTAAAGTTATTTCCTTGATTGTAATGTAAAACATAATTGTGTAATATAATAATTCTTTATTCTCTCATTTAAAGTTATTTTCTTGATTGTAATTGAAATTAAAAATATTTTGTTCAAAACAATTTGGCTTAATCAAAAAATATTTCGTGCAAATTTATTTAGAAGAAATCTAAATAAATTTGCCTCAATCTTTTTTTAAGAAGAAAACAAAAACAGAAAACAAAACATTTTTTGGTAAAGCCAAAAAATTTTAGACTAAATTTTGTTCAAAAGGTTTTTGTTTTTATGTTTTTTTTTTTACATTTTTGAGTAAAATAGAGACGCATGGGTGAAAGTGTTTTTTCAAAAAAAATTGTTGAAAAATTTAAAAAGCCTAAATTACTGCTAATGATTTTGTGTTTTTAAATTCTGTAATGTTCAATTAATTCACTCCCAAAAAGGCTGCAAGCAACAATTGTTATGTTGGAACTAGAAATCAAAGAGTAGTGTTAAAGAACAAGTAAAGGATTGATTGAAAAGATATATATTATATGGGTGAGGAAAACAGACGGGAGAGAGTTTAAAATGCGAAAAAAAAAAACTAGACGAATAGTAGTTTTTAGATCATAAGAGGGTACAGTAAAAAGATGTTACTTTGCTGAATGACGAGTTTTGGTTAATAGAACTAGCGATGATAGCTCGTTTGAGCAGCGACTGTGATAGCATGTATAGAAAAAGAAAAAGAAATGTGATATTTGAATTGGAGAGTGGCTCAAGCTTGGTAGGTAGAACAGGTCCAACTACTAGTATTTTTTATGATGGAGATGCATTACAGGGAGAATTAAGCATTATAATTGCAAAAAGATCTCAGAAAATAAGCTTTTAATTTTTTTAGAAGGGCTAAAACCTTACAATGCATTTTTGGACCTTGTCTAAAAAAGAAAAAGTTTCATTAGAAGAACCAGCTCAAATATGACAACAGTGTTTTATGCAAGTACAGAATGGTATTAGGAGAAGAAAATGATATATAAAAATGATTTAAAAAAAAGTTTATTGCATTCATAACAATAATTTATGAAATTAAAAAAATCCTTCAAATATTACAAAAAAATCATTTGATTCTTCTCTAACATTTTATAGGGATAATACTATAATAGAATTTTTATTACACTTTCTTTATAAGTGGATTTTTAAGATAAAATTATTAATACAAAACTAATATATTTTTTTTCTTGCTCTATACATATACCATTTTACAATATCAATATTGTTATATATATATATATACATATATATATATATATATATATATATATATATATATATATATATATATATATATATATATATATATATATATATATATATATATATATATATATATATATATATATATATATATATATATATATATATATATCCAAATGAGTCACTGAAGATCATATTGGAAGTAAGGTTTTCTGAAATTATCAACAATTAAATTACCAGAAAAACATAACAAAAGTAACATGACATTATGTCTATGTTATTGATTTTTATTTATCACATTTTGAACTTTTATGAAAATTTGAATGTTTCATCAATGTTGATTGTATTTGATCTCATTGATCGCATTGATTAAAACTACAAGAAATTGATTTAAATTTTTTAATCATTTATGAAAGTCTAAGCAAAATTGAGTCTAATTACAGATGATGGAGATAATTGCAGATGAAGATCTTTTTTAATATAAAAAATAACTGATTTTTATTACAAGATAAATACTTTATTTAAAAAAAGATATAAAAATATTTTTTTAATTATTTATAAATAAGATATTGACATTTTTTTTTGTTCAAAGATTGAGAAATACAGAAGTTATATGCTACAGTGCCAGCAGTAGTGTTAGATCCAAGCCATATATTGTGATGAGTATTTATTTATAAATTATTTATATGAGTATAAATTAAGAATTGATGAGTAAGTATACTCCTAAGCTGAGAATATGACTGTTTAAGTCTTAGCAAATCAAAGGATTATCAACAATGAGATCTGAAGGTGAAACAGATGAGTTTAAATTGGTCTCACAAAGAGCAAGTAAGTCTGGTAAGTTTTGCAATAGGTAAAAACTTCTGTCAATTGACGAAAAGTTACTTCAAAGACCATAAATATTTGTAAAAAATGTATTGAAACACAGTTAGGTGGTGGTGTTGATGGTTATTTTTATGTTTAATTTTGGGTATATTTGTCATGATTTAAGTTATGAATGGAATCAAGGAGATCCAGCATTCATCATCCTAGGCAGGAAACTATATAGTACAGATTTACATCTATGCCATCCTATTAAATAAAGATGGGGTGTATATATAAAAACCGAAGCATTAATAAAAAGAATGAGGTGGAAAGCGTTTTTCTTTATTAATGACAATCGAAATAGTAAGTACAATACCTTTTATAATAATAATTATGGAATAAAAACACCAAGTTACCCTAAACAAATTACTGAAATGTGTGCGTTTGAAAGCGAATTAATAGAATTAATAAAAAACATAAAATTTCGTAAAGTTTATAGCAAATTTCAGAAAAAATTAAAAGAAGATATATCTAATATACGCAATTGTAATCTTACCGACACCTTTGCAGATAAAACATCTAATTTATATTATTTATCTAAACAAGACTACAATTATTTATTAACCAATCCCGTAACTTCAACTTACAAAAAATCGGATCCTAAAGTAAAAAATGATATAAATAACGAAGGTAAACGGATTTTACAGAATCATGAAATTTTTAATAAAATTGATATCAATACATCATCTAACTGCTTTATAACATTAAAAGACCACAAAGAAAATTTTGCAAACAGTCCAACAGTTCAATTAATAAACCCTGCCAAAAATGAAATCGGCAGAATTAGTAAAGTTATTCTTTCAAACATAAATTCTGAACTTGTTAAAAAGACTCCATCTCAATCAGTGGAAAAAAACACAAGATGTTATATGCTGGTTCAAGTCCATCAGTGATCCAAATCTTTATAAGTTTCTCATTTTTGATATCGTTGATTTTTATCCCTCAATAAGTGAAAAACTACTTAAAAATGCTATTAGTTTTGCTGAGCAGCATCTGGTTATAGATCCTGAGCAAAAGTCGATTATTTACCACGCCAGAAAGTCACTGTTGTTTGATAGCAATCAAGTTTGTATTAAGAAATCAAGCGGATTATTCGATGTTTCGATGGGAGCTTTTGATGGCGCCGAGGTGTGTGAATTAGTGAAGATTTTTCTTTTATTTCAGATTACACAGTTTTATAATAAGAATGATTTCGGGTTATATCATGATGGCGGTTTGGTGATTTTTAAAAACACCAGTGGTCCCCATATGGAAAAAATTAAAAAACATGTTGTTAAAATATTTAAATCAAACGATCTTCTGATATCAACACAGTGCAACATAAAAATTGTAAATTATCTGGACATTACATTAAACCTCAACAACCACACCTACCAACCTTACTCTAAACCCGGAAACTCTTTAAATTACGTTCATGCTGAGTCAAACCACCCATCCAGTATTTTAAAGCAACTCCAACATTCTATTGAATTAAGATTATCAGCAAATTCGTCAAGGGAGGAAATCTTTCAAAAATCCACTCCAATGTATAATGAAGCATTAAAAAAGTCCGGTTTTAATTACAATCTTTCTTACCAACCTAACTTAATATTATCTCACACTAAGAACCGTAAACATAACATCATTTGGTTCAACCCGCCTTTTAGCAAAAACGTCAGCACGAATATAGGAAAAATATTTTTAACATTAATTGATAAGCACTATAAATCACAAGTTGCACAAAATTTTTAACAGAAACACATTAAAAGTAAGTTATAGCTGTATGCCGAATATGAAATTCGTTTTAAACGCCCACAATCGCCATGTTATAAAAAACAAGAAAGAATCAGCTGAAAATAATTGCAATTGCATAGATAAAAACACCTGTCCTTTATCAAATCAATGCTTAACAAAAAATATAGTATATCAGGCTAATGTATGCTCAAACGATCTTGTTCAAACTCCCATCAATAAATTTTACATTGGAATAAGCGAATCTTTTAAAATTAGGTATGCTAATCACATAAAATCTTTTAAAATTCCCAAATACAATAACACTGAATTATCAAAGAAGGTTCAGAGATTAAAAGATGAAAACTTAAACCTGGTTATTAGGTGGAAATAATTAAACAGTGCGATGCCTATAACCCTGTAACAAAACGATGTAACTTATGCATAAACGAAAAGTACGAAATTTTATTTCTTAAACACCCAAATTTGTTAAATAAAAAGATTGAAATATTATCTAAGTGCCGGCATAAAAACAAATTTCTTCTTGCCCAATTTGACACAGGCAATTAGCAGTTTTACAACTATGCTTTTTTTTTGTTCGTTTTGTTTTGACGTCGGAACTCATTCTACTGCTGTTTTTGCATTTTGTATTTTTTTAACAGTTTTTTCTTGATTAGTATAATATATATGGCTGAAGATTGCCGATAGGCATGAAACTTTTAGTTCCATTATAAAGTTGTATTTTTCTAGTTAATTATACTTTATATATATATATATATAAAGTATAATTATATATATATATATATATATAAATATATATATATATATATATATATATATATATATATATATATATATATATATATATATATATATATATATATATTTATTTCTGTATATATTAATTTATTATTAAACTAGCACAGCATCTTCTGGGCTGAACTCAATGGCTGCTGTTGCATTAGAAGATATTGTAAAAAAGATAAAACCTGGTATCTCTGAACAAGCATCTACCATGGCTTCTAAGACTATTGGTATCATTTGTTTAATTTTTTAATTTTCAATAAATATCGTAACTTTGCACAAAAATTTGACGTATTTTCATGTTTTGGTTTCTAAAATTTCTGTTATGTTACTAAAAACATTTTCTGAAAAATGTTTTTTTTTGTTGTTGTTTATAAAAATTTTTTTCAAGGATGTTTTTAATGTGTAAAGTGAACAAAGGGTTTGGCTAAATTTGCACATCATTACAAAATTTAAAAGACTTAACAAACTGCATGGAAACTCTTTTTTTAAGGACTTAAGTATTTTAAGGAAAGTATAAAAACTTTAAGTTTAAGGACTTCTAAGTAATTTTATTTAAAAAAAAAAAAAAACTATTTTCTATCATCTAATTATTAAACAATTTAACATGCTAAGAAAAAAGAAATAAACACAACCATATAAGAAAAAAGAAATAAACACAACAAAAAAAGAACTATAAACACAAAATTAAGCTTGGCAATTCTTTTTTAAACAAAAATTAAAGATTTGAAAAAAAAAAAAAAAAAAAAAAAACCCTTACAAAAATCCCTTTGAAAGTCATTTAGGTAATATGTAAAGTTCCCTTTGTTTGGAAATTTTTGGGGGTTCTTTGAAACAAAATATTATCCCATTCATAGAAAATATATGCTATCAGACCACTTCCATGCTTTTAAAATTTTTACCATTAACTTTATGTCAAGCTATCTTCCTTTGACAATTTTTATTGGAAAAAAGTTTAATTCACAAGTAAAAAAGAAAAAGTTCATTTTCTTAATTCAACATAGTAAACTCGTTTTCCTCAAACTAGTTAGCAAAAAGAAAAAGTTAAGATAGCAAAAAGGAAAAGTTTAGACAATTTTACAAGAGCATCTTTTTCAAATCGAAAAAGCTTTTCAAGAAGATTTCGTCATTTTGAATTTTTTGAAATACCTTCATAAAACAAAACATCTTGACATTTTACTCTTAGCTAATTGTTGCAAATAGAATTTGTTAAATGAACCAAGTCATACTTAAGTAAAATGTTAACAGTACCAAGAAATTATTATCATTAGTACACCAAATATTATGAAAATTAAACATTCCAAAAAACTTTTTATTTTCTATATTATTGTTGCAAAGATTAGCAACAACAAGAACCACCACAATTTTTTAATGTTTGAATCATTTGCATTGTTTGATCATATTGAAAATCTAAACCTGTTACTGTAAATGCCTTATACAAAAAAATATTTTCTTACCAAACAAAGAACAAATCATTAAACCCAAAACTGTTTTCCCTAATTTATTTTGAAAGATTACATATTTACCAAAAATGTTACCTCCTTGATATGTTAACTCTGGTTTAACATAAGTTTCATAAATTAGTAGAATGACCTATTTTTGAGAACTAGAACATTTGTCAAAATGCAATTAAAAAATCATTATCTCTAACATTTCTAGCTTTAGATGTTTATTTTGTCATCCTTTTGTCAGTGATATAATTGGTAGTTCATAGTCATTAGTTAGTTAGGAGTATAGGGTTCTTGACAATGAAAAGTACTTAAGTGTCCTGGCAACCATATCAGGAGAATATTTTTTTTTTACCAATAAACACTGAGGAGTTTATACTTAATATCTGTTTAATGATAATAATTTTTTTTTGAATCAAGAAATAATATTAATAGATTGCAAGAAAAAGGTTTTATGCTACACTTAACAATACAATTATGATCAAAGGATTTTTTAATATTATTCACTTCCCCATGGTTGAGGGGCCACTATAGTTAAGGAGGCTACTTTTTATTTTTTTCTATTGTGGTTACAATTTTCTTTTAACTATTTAACTTTAAAACACAAAACTACACAAACAAAGTTGTTGCACCAAGAAACAAGCTGATTGTGGTACTACCAGATATTTTTGGGGGATCAAACTTGGAATTTCTTAATTATGAAGCAAGTACTCTACCACTATGCTACTACCACATTAAAATTACCTTGTAAACAGAAGGTAGAGATGTAAACAGTTTTCATAGACGTTTGATATTATCAAAAAAGATTTAGTTTTGGACATTACTTTGTCACACAAACCTTTCAGAGGATGAAATATTGTCTACCAGTTTGTTTATTTTGAGTTTACCATTTCATAAGGAGCAGTACTTTTTAAAGATGGCAATTGTTTAGTAGTTGGTCTTTGTGGTATTTGTGGAGTCAAAATTTGACTTTGATTTGCACTAAAAAAATACAGATGGTGGATGTTTTGGTGGATTTAATTTTTTAGTTTTAAATTATTTAATTAAAAACTTTGTAAAAATATATAAAATAAAAATTCAAATTAGAAAAAAAAAAAATCATAAAAGAAGAAGAGTAACAAATGAACTCTTTATATATAAAAATAGGAAGAAAGTCAAAACAAAATAATATTTATAAAATAATCGTTTTAATATGAAAGCAATCTGAATATATACAAAAATAGAGTTGAAAATTTGAGTCAAATGCAACATTCTTTTTAACAGTTTTAATTAGCAGACATTAAGATGTTTGAATAAATAAATATCAAAAAATGTTGCTGACAATTATAAAAATGTTGCTGACAATTATTCTCTGATGTATTTATGATACAAGTTATTAAATACATATTTAAGTTTCATTTTTATTTAAGCTTGCTTTTTGGGAGTTGTTGTTATTGGACTAGCATTCTTAGTGTCATTGTTTGGTTCCATGGTTTTGCAGGTTTATCTGTTTTTAGTTTTCATATTTTTTTTTTGCATCACACAATAAAATAAATATATTTTTCAATGTGACAATGTATATATTTTTCAATGTGTTTTCCTGGAGTAAAAAGTAAAACATTTGTTAAATTTTTTTCGTTTACATTTAAACTTAAATCGCTTTCCTCTCTTTTTCATTGTTAAATATAACACAAAAAAATCAAAAAATAAAGTAAATACCTTACTTTAGCTTGCATATAGTATTTTCGGTATTGTTGGAGGCCCTTATCTTGGTTTATTCTTTCTTGGAATGATGTTTCCATTTTCTAACTCAAAGGTAAACATTTTCAGTTATTTATTTTACAAATTTATTACCTTTAATTGGCTATTTTATATTGTAATTCTGAATGTATCATCCATTTTATTAGGGAGCTTACTGTGGAGCTTTAATAGGTGTATCCTCTACATTATGGCTAGCTATTGGTGGGTTTTTGTATCCTCCAAACAAACATGAAGCTGTAATACATGTGTATGGTTGTAATGTTTTTAATAGCACTAATGCAACTATTGGTTTTAATAGCACTAATGCAACAATGAATTGGCAAAATAGGAGTGGAGAGATTAGGCCAATTTATATTGCACCTAAGTAAGAAATATTGTCATTAAAAAAATTTATGTGAGTTTATATATATATATATATATATATATATATATATATATATATATATATATATATATATATATATATATATATATATATATATATATATATATATATATATATGTATATATGTATATATATATATATATATATGTATATATATATATATATATATATATATATATATATATATATATATATATATATATATATATATATATATTAAATGGTATTTTGTGTTTATGTATAAGATGTTTACGTGTTCAATAATAAACAAATAGGATTTATTTATTTAATTATTTATTTATTTATTTAATAGAGCAATATATATATATATATATATATATATATATATATATATATATATATATATATATATATATATATATATATATATAAATTTGTAAACAAAGAAAATAGAACTTTTTATGGTACTAATAGTTTAATGCCTAAAGGCAATCATCGGCCCTGTAATACAAAATCAAGAAATAAAAAAACCGTTAAAATATAAAGTTACAATAAAGTGTGCTCCGTTGTCATCATAACAAACAACAGAAAGAAAAAAGGAAAAAAAAAAGAAAAAAAGGCACAAGAGGCACTGCTCTAAAGAGCTAGTGTCTCTTGTACCATCTACTAAAACTCATTCTTTTTAAAACTCGTCATTCTTTTGTTACTTTGTCAATCTCGTCCTTTTTCTGTGACTGTTCCTCTGCTCCAAAAACTCTTATTCGTCTAAGTTTTTTCCTCGAACATCAGTTCTTTGTAATCCACTTCCTTTATCTTGCTTTCCTGATATGTCAGGAAAAAGTAAGAAAAAAATTGACACACATTTTTGGGTAAGGGAATTCAGGTCATTCTTACCAAAAGAAAAGTTTGCTACAGAGCAAGAGGTTTTGCAATACTTCTTGCATTTGAAGGAGAAGTACCCAAAACTAAAAGAAAGTAGAATTATCCAGTGTCCATTGACAAAAAACTTCGAAATCAACTGCCATAATGAAAAACATATTTGCTGCACTCTTTCAAAGTTAATTACACCTTGGATGAAGGGTGGATTTCAGATTTTACAATTACAAACAATTAGGTAGGTACCAGACTGTATATGTTTTTTTTTATTTATATATTATTACTTATTAGAGGAGAATATTAATATAACTAATGTCTGCTGTTAAATAAGTGAATAAACAGAAATAGGAGTGTTGTAAAATATACCGAACCTATAAATCACATTTTTTAGTATAAAGATAGAGAAGCTGATCTGAACCTGGAAACTGTTAAAAAAAACAAAGCAAGGCAAACTTTATCAGAGATTGAAAAAAAGGAGGAGGTTTTTAACTCAGATGAAAAGGATCTTTTGGATCGCACCTGAGCTTGATACTCTGGTTGCAATTATTAAAGTTGATAGGAAACGAAAGGATCAAGACAAGACTGAAGATATTGCATTTTTATTGGACCAATTAGGAGATAGAAAACTAGAATAGGTGGAATCGATACAAGGTACCTTTACTCTGTAAACAGGAGTTCATCCAAAATTAAAAGGAAATCAAATTTGCATGAAACCATGTCAGAGAGTGAATTCAGCTCAAATGGATTAGAGAAAGATGAAGATATTGATGATTTTCCATACCCATATCCAGAGTTAAAGAAAAAAGTCAAAAAAGCTAATAGTGTTATTCTTCCAAAAGATGTTCTCAAGCGAACTGCTGATACTGCTGTTGGGGAAGGAATAAGTCATAGGCAGCATGCTTCCATGGTTAATAGTATAATCGCTAAATCGGGTGGAAATGTAGCTGAATTTAAATGTTCAACCTCTACAGCATTACGCACTGCAGATGAGGTCATTCATGATGAATCAAAGAGAATCAAGGATCCTCTTTGATTCATCATGATTTAAGAAGTTTTAGAAAAATCAATAAGAACATTTTAGTTCAACTCCATTTTGATGGAAAAGTATGTCATGAATATACTGATGGGAAAAAATTGGAACAAGATCGATTAGCAATATTAGCAAATGGTAACAAGGAAACACACCTGTTGGGAATTTCACCTATTCTTCTGGAAGTGGCGAAAATCAAAAAAATACCATCAGAGATATCTTAAATAGCTTTAACCTTACAGACAATATACAAGCTGTTACATTTGATACCACCAGAATCAACACTGGAAACAAAAATGGAGCTGTATCTTTACTGGTAAATTAAGTCTTTTATTATCAAAAAAATATCAAAATAGCATTACTTCTGGACCAGATAATCTGCTGTTTAAAATTTTAAAAACAGCATGGAATGATCTTGACGCAGACAACCAGGTAGGTTTTCACAAAATTAGCTACCATTTTGTGAAATATTATTTTTACCAAATAATTTTCTTTTTCCAATTTTGAGTTCTTTGAATTTTTTTTTTACGTTTTAAATAAATAAGGTTTTAAGAAAATTAACTATTCCAGAGAAAACATGGCTTGGTCATCAAAAGCATGAAGGCATAACGTTCTGCAGAAATATTATCACCAGTGGGTCTTTAAAAAAGGTAGCCAATAACTAGATATCTGAATTCGTAGTTATCTATGTAGTATGTACTTTTATGTTGAAATTTTTTTATAAATTTTTCTTTTTTGATTCTATTATTCTTTATTATACTAAAATATAAATAGGTTTAATTTATTATACCTAAATACTTATGATTTGATTTCATTTTTAGGATGGGGCTACAAGGAAGGACTACATTGAGCTGGCAGAGCTTACACTTATGGTGCTTTCTGAGGACAGATACAATTTCGTACTCCCGGAGCAGTCCACCATGCCCGCTTTATGGCAAAAGGTAAGGAATTGTAGGTTCATGATAAAAAAAAGTTCAAATTGTAGTAAAATTATAGCTTCATAGCAAAAAAAAAGGAATTTGTTTTACATTATCAAATATTAGTCTTTTTAAAAAATCAAAAAAAAAAAAAACTTTTTTTTTATAGGCATCTACTACCTAAAAATGATGGATGCTATACTTAGTCTGGAAAAATGGCTGAAGCATGAAATTACTGAAGTTGCAACTTTTGTTTCTGTTTTTTATACCACATATATATATATATGTATATATATATACATATATATATATATATATATATATATATATATATATATATATATATATATATATATATATATATAATATAATATAATATAATATAATATAATATAATATAATATAATATAATATAATATAATGTAATATAATATAATATAATAAAATATAATATGTAAAAGGGTTCTAGTTTGAATAAAAAGATTTGATAATTATTAAAAGTATCTAAAATATAATTTTTTTTTTAAAGAAAGATTAACAGTTTTTTTGTTTTATCCAGGATATGAGAGCGCTTTGGCAAATGAATAGGTTTAAGGAGTACAATTTGATTGGGGCAGAATCAGTCATTGAATCTATCGCCACACATGGTTTCTGGACCCTTACCTTATTGTACTAACTCTAGCTGATGAAAAATGTAAAGAAAGAGGTGCTATTGCTCAAAAACTATACAGCTATGAATTTCATAGTATGGATGAATATCCCCTAGCTCGAATAAGTGCTAACATAGAGGTCCTCAATTCTTTAGTCTTCAGTGGACCGAATCCTCTCAGCTTAGTTCATTTGATCACAGAAAAATCGTGGCTATTATTTCTTATGATAGACCAAAGTAAAAGTGACTGTCAATGGATGAAAACCCTCCAAAATATCGGACTTACAACAATTTCTACTTAAAATTTCAGGAGGCAGTTTTTAATCTTTCAGTTGTTAATGATTGCTCGGAAAGAATTGTTAAACTCATAAAAGACAAAATTGATATTGCCCAAAAAAAGAGAAAAGACAGGATTCACTTTTATTTTTGCATAATTACAAAAGGAAGTATAAAAATCTAAGAAATCCAAGAAAAATAAAAAAAAACAATATAAAAATATAACATAACATTTTTTAAAAATAAAGCAATTATAAAGAAATTTGTTAAACCAAATTGCTAGACATTTTATGCAATATAATTAGATTTTTTTTCATTTCATGTAATTTAATAAAGTTTCATGCAATATAATAAAGTTTTTATAGATCTTGAATGCTGTATATAGATGTTTTATGCAACATAATCAGGTTTTTTTTCCAAATGACTTAACATATCCATAAAGATATTGCATTGCGTAATATTCGGTAAAAATCTGCATAACTTTGCGCTTTTGTAGATAAATTTACACAATTTATTTCAATAAAATATAATTACCATGCATTTTAATTTTTTTATTCTAACTTAAAAAAAATTTAATTTTTTTGGGTTTTAGTACTTGCTCAAATGTGCAAAAAATGGGTTTAAAAAAGGGTAAAAAAGCCTAAAATATGACTTTTGAGGCATTTGAGCAACCCCTCAAAGTGGTCAAAATTTAAATAAAAAAAACTCTACTAATAAAATAAGGGTCAACGCAGCAGATAACACTCCATGGTACTTTAAATTTTTTTATGACCTCAAAATGAAGCAGTCTAATATATATATATATATATATATATATATATATATATATATATATATATATATATATATATATATATATATATATATATATATATATATATATATATATATATATATATATATATATATATATATATATATATATATATATATATATATATATATATATACATATATATAATATATATATAATATATTATATATATGTATATATATATATATATATATATATAATATATATATATATATATATATATATATATATATATATATATATATATATATATATATATATATATATATTCATACAGTAAAGATAGTAAAGGATTATATCAACAATATCAAAATTGAAACATTGATTTGGCCTGCTAAATCTCCAGATCTGGGTATTATTGAGAGCGCTTGGGGACAGCTGTAATATATAGTGTTTGAAGGTAGTGAACAATATAGTTCACTACCTGACTTGAAATTACCCATTTCATCTGCATGGAATGCAATTGGTATCAAAAACTGTATGATTCTAGAATCATTGAAGTGATTCAAAAAAAGTATCCACTCTTGATTTTTTGAAAAATGAGGCAGCTTTTTTATAAAAGACAATTTATATAAGTATTTAATAATGTATGTATAGGTAAAAAATACAAATGCTTAAGAAAAGAGCAATCATAAATTAGCATAAATTAGTAAAAACATTAAGTTAATACACTTAGTTTTTCAGTAAAAAACACTTATTAAATAAACTTACGCAGGTTCATCAGTTCCTGATGAATCTGTTAAAGGTGAATATATATATATATATATATATATATATATATATATATATATATATATATATATATATATATATATATATATATATATATATATATATATATATATATATATATATACATATATATATATATATATATATACATATATATATATATATATATAAATATATATATATATATATATATATATATATATATATATATATATATATATATATATATATATATATATATATATACATATATATATATATATACTATATATATATATATATATAAATATATATATATATATATATATATATATATATATATATATATATATATATATATATATATATATATATATATATATATATATATATATATATATATATTGGGGTAATTGTGGCCAAATTTTTAGGGCTTTTTTGTTACCAGGCCCCAATCATCAGAGTTTTTTTGCAAAGCATCCTTATTTGACATAAGTATAAACATATAAATGTTTGGAGTTTGTTTCATGTTTAGAAGTTAGTTATTTCAAGTGTTGACTTTTTAATATTATATTTTTCAGTATAAATCCTTTGCTTGCATCATGGTATTCAGTGTCGTATCTCTGGTATGCTGCAATTGGTGTGAGTTTCACTGTGGCTGCCGGTTGTCTGTTTTCCTTGATTTTTAATGGTATGTTTACTTTGTTTATGTTTTCTATACAATAGTAGTCCTAATATTTATACTAATTTCATATATTTAGTGTTGTCCTCAGAAGAAAAATGTGCAATTGAACCAAGGCTTTTGTTTGATTATGGAGCTTTCTTTCAATCAATTACTCCATCCTGCCTTCGAAAGACTAAGTACATTGTTGATGAAAACACTGAGAGTTCTGAAAATGTAAGTATATGTAAATGAGAAGTCATACTTAATAGTCCACTACCATGAGTAAGATTTAATAAGTCACCCTGAAAAATATTTTCATGGTACAAATAAATATGTTCCAAAAAGTATAAATTAAGAAAAATTTATGACTATTTAAAGGTTTAAGTATATTTTAAGTATGACAGGAGCAAGAAATTTCAATAAAAAAATTTAAAACACTTTAATTTCTAGTTTTCGTTTTTACAGTATTTACATTATCACTAGTTATCACTAGTCAAAAAAGAATTGCTTGCTAAAACTATATGATAAGTTCTTAAAGAATTAGTTAAAACTAAATGATAAGTTCTTAAGGAATTAGTTAAAACTAAATGATAAGTTCTTAAGGAATTAGTTCTTAAGGAATTAGTTCTTAAGGAATTAGTTCTTAAGGAATTAGTTCATCAAGTAAATTAATTGAGTAAAAATAAAAGCAAGTTTTTACATTTTTTTGCTGTTCAATATATTTTAAACACACATACACACTTATTATCTTATTTTTTTTTATTATTTTATATTGTCACTTGTAATTAGTTTAATTATTGAAATATTTTATTTTTTATATATTTATTTTTGAACAACACATCAACATGTATTTCATGATCACTTAGAGCGTTAACCTGATAAACTGAAAGTTCATGGTTTAATTCCTGCTGTAGATATTATGTCACCACAGTGTTTTTTATTTAATTTCTTTTAAACCTAATGCATGGGTCATGATTTTCACTTTTTATCATTTATATGCAGTGACTATATTTTATTATTATTTTTTATTATACACTTTACTATAATGTCTTTATATATATTTTTGTTTTAAACATCTTCACTTCTAACAAGGCTGCAAGCAACCACTAATTAGTGTTGGAAGTTACTGGAAGAGAAAAGATGAAGATTATAGCACAAGATAACAATTGACAGGCGACTTAAAAGATTGCATGATGAAGGAAGCGAATTCCAAAGAACTGATGTTCGAGAAAAAAACTAGAGGTATAAGAGTTTTTGGAGTGCTTAGGAACAGTCACAGAAAAAGGATGAGACATAATTGAATGATGAGTAACACGAGAATGAATTTTAGTAGATAGCACAAGAGACACTAGCTCTTTAGAGTGCCCATTATAATGTTTGTAGAAAAGAGAAAGAGAAGCAATATTATGATGATGTGATAATGGTTGAAGGTTGGCTGCAAGAGCAGGTCCAACTATGTTTACAATGCGTTTTTGTACCTTGTCTAAAAGAGAAAGGGCATCATTAGAAGATGTATATAAAATTAAGTATATATGCATATATATGTATATAAAATTGAATATATATATATATGTATATATATTCAATTTTATATATATATATATAAACTTTTTACCCGATGATTGCATTTAGCATGAAACTTATAGTTATAAAAAAATATGTAGTTTTATTTATAAAAAATATAAAATATATTATATGTATATATATATATATATATATATATATATATATATATATATATATATATATATATATATATATATTCCACATTGAATTTCAAGCCTACTATCAAAATTCAATGTCATTGAAATTTAATGCTGAGTATTGATAATCAAAATGTGAAACTAATCCGTACTTCTCTATAACAGTGAAAATCTCAATTAACAAAATAATCAGCAGCATCATAAGTTCTAAACACTTAGCTAAAGTAAAAGAGCTAAAAGTTATTAAAATATATAAAAAAATTGAGTCTATATTACTAGATTCTGTCAGGTTGAACACTGATGAAGATCCAATTATTGTTGCTTCAAGCAAACAAAAAAAAACATCATCAACAGCAGAGTATGGGCAAACATCACTATAGTACATTACTCATAGTTATACCTAATGGGATTGATGCTATAATGGCAAATGCTACTGTTTGCTAATGGGGTTGGTGCTATAATGGCAAATGCTAATGTTTTATCAGAATATAATAGCATTCAAGCTTAGTAGCTGTTGTTTTAAATACTACATTAGTTACTATAGCTACTACAATAGTTCAAATACAGGCAAAATTATTGTTTTGGTTATCAAACTTAAAAACATTCTCAAAAACTTATGATAACATGATAAAACATATACCTTTGGGTGTATGTTGTATCATGTTGAACTGCCACAGCGACACGTTATATCTGAATTAGGTTGAAACGCAAGTGGTTTTAAATTGTACAAGTGACCGATTGGAGAGTCTTCATTTTCTCAAACTTTTTGTGAACACCCATTGTTTCAAATTACACCCATAGATTCAAAGTTAGAGTAATAAAGTTTTAAGAAATCTAACCAACAAAAACTTTAAGAGAACTGTGTCGGTATCTCAAAAGGTTATATTTCTAAAAAGTTTCTTGCAAAAAAATCTGGACAAAAAAATATTAGGACTGCACAACCATCTGAGTTATTAAAAAAAAAGTTTTTCAAGGTTATTGTGTAATGTGGTTTGCAATTAAGTGCTCTTGAAAATAAAAACTTACAAACTTTTGTATCAGCCATTCAATTAGTTGAGCTTCAAAATAGCAGGACTCCAAGTATTATTGTTTTTTAAAAAATCAACAAGGAAATTCATACTGTTCAACATATTCAAAATTATATGTTCTGCATAAAAATGAGAGTATAAGTAATGGAGCCCTTAACCGAATCCTTAAAATAAGCCTGTTAAGAAACATTAAGAAACATTTAAGACAAAACTTAAGTTATATAAGACAAAGCTTAAGCATGAAAAAAAAATTTGATGTTCATTATCTTGATTTTGTTGATGGTATTCAGGTTGAGCTTCGCATAACTTAGCATAGCTTTAGAAAAACTAAGAAAGTGTAGTGAAAAATGAAAATAAAAAATTATTTATAAAAAAATTAATATTTTTATTTATAAGTACAATCATAATTATTTAGATAAAAAATAAATGTTCCATAAACAATAAATGTTCTATGAAAAATAAATGTTCCATAAAAAATAAATGTTCTATGAAAAATAAATGTTGTATAAACAATAAATGTTCCTTAAATATTACTAGGATATGAAAATGGTTAAAAGGTCAAATTATCTCAAAAACAAGTTTACCTAAAAGTGATTTGTTTTATTAACATTTGAATAAATTCCAGGTTGACTCTTTTTTATTAATATTGGAATAAACTAATTTCAAGGTTTCTTTGTGATTTTGAAAAAAAATACCCTCTAGGCACTAGCCAAATATTTGACATATGTTTACTGAAAGATATGTTAATAATTTATAAGAACTATATAGTAATATAGTTTTTTAAAAATAGTTCTTTACAACATTCTCTCGCCCACTAAATAGGTAAAAGTATAATACAATATAATAATAGATATTTATAAAAAATTATAATAGATGTTTTTTTTACTTATAAAATGAATTAATAAATGAAAAATACATATTTATCTTGATACATTCTGTACCTAAAAATCAGTTGGTGTTTGTACATTCACTGCGTTTTTCTCTAAATAATTAAGTTAGTGAATGTATATTTAAATGCTAATTAAAAAAGTTTACAGTAAAATGTCGGTAACTCGAACCTCTTAGGGACCAAATAAATCGGTTTGACTAAAGGAATGTTCGACTTAGAAAAAGCGAAGTAAAACGGTTCGAAATAACAAAAATTCAAGTTAACCGGTGTTTGATTTACTGCGATTTTACTGTATTTTTAAATTATAACCAGAAGGTTTTTTTTACAATATATTTTTAGAAAACAGTTACATTTAAATCAAGAAGTTTAATTTTTTTTTTCTTACAAATGTAAATTTTTAAAGTATTTTATGTTTCAATATCGAGTTTATGTTTTGTTAGTGGTTGCTTGCACTTATGCTGTTGAAAATTGGTGTAATAGGTTGGTTGGCTCTTGATACTAAATTGTAGACGTTTCCAATGAAGTGCTATAGTTGACATAATTCATGTTCATTAGGTTGGCGTTGCATTGGGTTACCATGAGTTATCTTATCATTATCTTAAATATACCATACAGAGGCCGCATTGGTCCGCAAAGACACTTAAGAACATCATTACCCGCTTTGACGGACCGAGAGAGTACTTTTTTTACTCATCTTTACAAAGTAAATATGAGTAAAAAAAGTCAGAAGTAGTCGAATTAGAAAGATAGCACAGATAAAGCGAACAGATTTTGTACAAAATGTTAAAATGCGTAAATAGACTTATATTATCGCATTTAACTTTGAAATTAGCAGTTAATAATAGTCTATATATAAATTGGTATTGTGGTTTACCCTCTTCTGGCTAATTGCCATACAGAAGCACATTACCAAGGCCCGCAAAGACAAATTCAGCTCCTAAAGGAGCGTCATAACCTGCTCTACGGGTCGAGAGTAAGATGAATTTGGAAGAACAAAGATATGTTAGAGTGAAAAATAGAAGTAGTCGAGTTAAAAAGATAGCATAGAAAAAACGGACAGGATTGCACACAATGTTAGAAGGTGTAAAACATACTATTCATTAGGTTAATTAATGTACGCCGACAAAGAATTGATTAGAGTTCATTTGATATGAACTCTTTCTCCATTTTATTAGTCTATACATAAATTTATTTGACATACATATTAATACTTTAACTGTGAAGTCTTTTAAATTATATACACTAAATAATGTTACAAAATTACTTGTGGTGTAGTATTTTTTTACAATAATACATTTTTAACTGTTTCAACGCGACACAATCTATATTTGTTGCATGGGTTGCATAGTTGTACGCATACGTAACAAAAATTGTCAAATAAATAAATTTTCATTAATTATGGATTTTTATTAGATTTTTAACTGCTGTAATTACTTTTGTAAACTGCGAGAATTTTTTATAGAATTTCGAAGGTTTAAATTACCTTAATAAATCAATCTTCTAAAAAATTATAAATATATATTATAATCTTTGTTGCATGTTTTAGATATACTTGGTCATGTTTTTTGCCATTTTAAGTTTTTATTATCTTACAAGTAAAAATGTATATATAATGTTAACCATTGTTATCTTGACAAAGTTACACCTTGCTGTTTATGTCTATTTTATCTTTGCTTGTAATCCTATACTTCTTTAAGATGTGTATGTCATATACATATGTATATGCATTTACTGTAATCGATTAAAAATGACTTGTTTTAAACTCCATGTTAGGGCCGACGACACGTGTTTTGAAGTGGGAGAGCACAATCGTCCATGTCTGATAAAAGTAGAAATTTCCTTAAGAGAAAAAAGATCCTTTCAAAAAAAAATGTGTGTGTGTGTGTGGGGGGGGGGGGGGGAGGGTCTAGTGCCACCCCCCCCCCCCCCTCACACACAGTATTGTAAATCAATATTGGCTATATATATATATATATCAAAATGTGGACATTTTATATTGTTGCAATATTGTTAACAATATTGAAATCAATATTGTATTAATATTGCACTAATGTTGCTTGCCACTAGGGTATTGGACAAACAATATTGGAGTAATATCAGCATGCTAATACTTGCCAATATTGACACAATTTGTTTACCATTATTGATGCAATATCGCCTATCTTGTTTGATATTGGCCAAAATACCCAATATTGCACCATCATTGTACCAAAATCTTGCTACTAGGATAGGATATCAGAGGGGAAAAAAAATCAACTCAATAGTTAATTCAATATGCGTCAAGCCTGACATTTATTGTTGTTTCAATATTTTATAAGATTGTTGTTGTTTCGATATTTTCTTGGTCTTTTTGATTTTTTTTTTGATCAGGGATCTATAGTCTCTAGAAGTTTTAAAATTTTAAGAAAAGTTTTGTATAAAAGTGATGATAGTTTGCCTCGATTAGCAATATCCTCAATTAAAGTTATTCTTTGGGCCTTGGAGAGATGCATATATATATATATATATATATATATATATATATATATATATATATATATATATATATATATATATATATATATATATATATATATATATATATATATATATATATATATATATATATATATATATATATATGTATATATATATATATATATATATATATATATATATATATATATATATATATATGTATATATATATATATATATATATATATATATATATATATATATATATATATATATATATATATATATATATATATATATATGTATATATATATATATATATATATATATATATATATATATATATATATATATATATACATGTATATATATATACATGTATATATATATATACATAAACATATATATATATATATATATATATATATATATATATATATATATATATATATATATATATATATATATATATATATATATATATATATATATATATATATATATAGAGAGAGAGAGAGAGAGAGAGAGAAATTTAAATCTTAGTTTGAGACATCTTATTTTATTATAACTTTCTTTTTCCTTATAGCTGCTGTTCCAAAGTAGTTTTTCATGTGATTTAATCTATTTGAAATAGTTTCTTAAAAAATATTAAGTTAGATAAATAAATTTTTATAAAACTGATTTGTTTTTAAATTTTAGCTCGGTTCAATTCAAATGTGTCCTTCAACAACAAAACTTTGTGAAGATAATTTTAAATAAACTAAAATCAAAAATTTCGTTATTTGTGCTTCTAATTAGCGGTTAGAGAAAATGTAAACAGATTTTTTTAAATGTATTTGTTATTTAATTTTAATTTCAAAATATTAAAAATAAAAAAATATTGTTTTTATTTTTCAATATTTCCATAAAATTATCTTTTCATTATATATATGCAATGAAAGAAATATCAACATATTTCTTATGTTACTACCCAATAGGGTGTACCAGGAGCATAGTTTTTTTCCCTACAGGATACCTCTCAACTTTTTCCGATTCCCTGAAGTCCCCTGAGGCATAAAAAAAAAATCGTTGTCAAAAAGCGACATAATCTATAAAATTTAAAAAAACTCAATTTGAAAAGAAATGTCCATTACGTCAATAAATGATTAATTCGTAAGGAAAGTTGTTCTCATTTTATATTTTGTTTTTTAATAAACCTATTGATAATTCCTAAGTTGTGTAATACTGATACATGCTTGTTTTTAGAAGCATATTTTTTATATTTTTATAAAGTCTATGAAATAGGCTTAGGTATCTTATACAAAAACTTTTAGGAGGCTTAAAAAATGGTTTATTTTTTTGTTCTTATACATACAGATTTTTTTTGCAACACAATACCTAAGTTAAAGGATTTTTATGCATTAATTAATTCAAGAATTACGGATTTAGTAGATTTGTGCTCAAAAACATGTGGTATTTAGAGTAAAACTAAACAATATATTTATCATATAGTTGTTTTTTTAACGATATTAAAATCTATTTATGCTTACAAAAATAACATCATGTAAGAGTGCTTCTAAGATTAGGTGCATTGTGCCTGTCCAATAATTTCAAACATATACATATATGTAGTTAAAACATTTTGCATCATAAAAGTTATGATCTTATGTTCTGAAACAGCTACTTATTCAAATTTTAATCATTTTGAGGAGTTTTATCTTTCTTAAATTTACTGTTCTAAAGTTTTCTCAAGTTGACAGGGGCTTGGGGTTTCAGATTTTACGTATCCTTGGTGTTAATATTGCTATGTTTTGCATAAATATTCACTAAAATCTGACATTAAACTGTGCCAAAGTCACCAAAATTAATGCTGAATTCCTTAATTGACAATATTACAATGTCTGATTTAAATATTTTTATTTTATTATAAGGTTGGATGTTTGTTAAATAAAATAGAGGACTATTTTACTGTCATGTATGTAACAATAACAATTCACTGACAAAATAATTCAAACCTTGACAAACTTGACAAAATATTTCATACCTACCATTTACTGACAAAATAATGTAACTTGGGTAGTTACGGTAAAAAAAATGCACTATTTCATTTGAAAGAATTTGCGCATTATTAGGAATTTATATATGAGAGGTAATTAAGGCAAATTTTATCGGGTTATCATTTTATAATAAAATTGATTCATAGCGTATATTTTTAAATTGTCAGGCACTAACCGGGTGAATTTGTATCAAGGTAAATATTTATATGTTTGAAATTTAAATGATTAAATACATTATGTTGTTGTTTATCTAAAAAAATCATTATTGAATTGAATCGACTAATCCGTTTTAAACGTACGAACAGCAACCTCGTAAAAGTGTCAAGTACGTAACGATTATGTGCGTAACGTAATTACGTTACGGACGTGACAATAGCGTTACGTATTTACAAACATTAAATAAATGACCGTTTATGTAAAAAAACTAGTTTATTAGTAGGATAATAAAGAGGTTTCGCATCAGAAAATTATATTTTAAACCCTAAGCACTGTTATCGATATTAAAGAACTGATAATATATTTATTTCCATTAATGAACGACAAAATCAAACCAGGAAAGGCTAGCGAAATTCAGAACCAAAATAAGAAATGATCCTGCAAAATTCGAAGATTATTAGAAGAAGGAACTAGAGCGTCAAATGCAAAAAAAAAAAAAGCAACAAAACCGAAGACTGGACGTGAGCTGCGACGTCAACGGAAACAATGGCGAGAAGGACAGCAACACAGTAAAGGAAAGCTGCGAAAGAACAAGCTACGAGTACAGGTAATGAAACTAACCAAGTAAACCGATAAGTATCGAAAGCGAGCAGAAAGATTAAGTAAGAAACCGTTAAACAGTAACACGCCACGTAGTAAAATGAGAAACATGACCTAAGGTTTGAATGGGCACCCTTAAATCAAAAGAGTACTTCTGTTTCATAATGTTTTATGTGATACCATACGCGAGAAGTATTCAGCAACCAAAGTAGACAGAGAAATTTTTAAAAATAATCAGACAGAAAAAATAATTACATCTAAACTGATGAAAAAGTATAAACTAAAGAAAACATGTCAAGATTTCACAGGTATTAGTACACGCAGTTTATCAAGATCAAATTGCTCACAGTATCGTGCAAGATATAAGTCTACAGTGTTTCGCTATGCATCAGTTGCATTCTATGATAGAGATGATAACAGTAGGATCACTACCAGCAAGAGAGACACTACCACGCGTAAAGATGAAAAAAAAAGGCGAAGACTTTTACTAAGTACACTTTCAGACCTGCACAAAAGGTTTGCTGTAGATAAAACAAAATAAAAGTTTCATAGGGTAGTACAAATAAAGGTTAACTTGAACCACTCTATCGACAACAGAAGCATTTGCACACCTTATAAGTTTCAAGGACCGTTTTGCTCACGCAAAGCCTCTTTTATATGGAATGAAAGCTCTCAATATATATGAGCTAAATGTTTTTAGTATTCTTTGTTTTATGTATAAATGTAAAAACAACTTATAACCCGTTTCTTTCTGCGACTTGTATTTGCAAAGAGACATAAATATATATATTTATGTCTCTTTGCAAATACAATATATTAATAAAATATATATATTTTAAGGAATTAAAATTTGATTAGGCAATCATTTTCCCAAACTAACTTCGGAAGTTTTTTTATTTCATTTCGAGGGCTATTTTTATGGAATAAAATAATTTTAAATACTAAAAAAGACAATTCTCAAAAACCTAAGTTTGATTCTTTTTAAAAAAAACCTAAAAATCTCATTTTTTCCACTAAAAATATACTTATATACTTTTAAAACTTAAACGAGTCTCAATTTTTGTGTGTATGTGTAAATTTTTATTTTTTTGCGGGAAGCTTGTTGTAATAAGTTACATAAAGTTTATATAAATACGTATTTACATAAACATGTTGCAATATGAGTTTTACTGTTTTTTGAACATATTTATAAGTTGACTTTATTTTACTTGGATGTACTGTAATGTAATGTATTCATTATTGTCCTGTAACGCAATGTAATTTATTTTTTTAGCGGTTCTTGGTGATAAGACCTAATGGTCTTCTTCGAGTGTCCGTGTTCTTTGTTTTTTTTATTAAATATTTTGAAAGTTTTACTCTTTTTAACGAATTTTTTACCTGTAATTTTATTTGTATATATAAACATACTTATGTATGTTTGAGCGATAAAAATAAATTTATATAAAAGAAAAAGTTCAAAAATATATTTCAGTTAATGAATGACGTATTTGATTAAGATAAGTTTGGCCCACTATGTGGAACACATAATGCAGTTCATATAACTATTCCACTTAATGTGGCATAATCCTTAAATAAATACGTGCTAAATTTAATGTGGCTATCATATGGGCCATACATACAAAACTCACGAACTTGCCTCATTTTGAATTTTAAATTTTAACCTATTGTAATAATTCTATCACAATGCATTGTATACTCTAGAATATTACATAATATCATGCGGCTTATCGTTTTGATAATTTTCAATTTATAACTGTTGTAAGCTTACAACATAAGTGTATTTCATAATGGGCCACACTTATCTTCATCAAATAATTCATTCATCAACTGTAATTTATTTTTGCACTTTTAATCCACACAAAAGCACTATGACCATATGTGGGCCACATATACCTTTCTTGTCGGGAAGTGACTTCTATTTCTATTGTTTATTTTACTTCGTCTTGACTAGCATAACTATATGTTCTATTAAATAACACAGATGGCGCTGCATGACGATAAAGAGAAATTGTTTTAGTTTTGTGGAGTTCCCTTATTTAAAATAAGCTTTAAAGGTAGCCAAGTCTCTTAAGTCAACTTGCCCATCGCATAAGATTTTAAACACCAGGGCCCATAACATACAGAAATCTACTTATGTTTACCTAGATATTGATTATTTTTTATTTACTAATGTTGGTTCGTAGGCAGCTGGTTAATAGGGTACTGAAGAAGAAACAATAGCCTTCTGGAATTGATCTGAATCTTCCTCTTATTTTTCTTTATTTAAAGACAACCTACATTAATAAATACTATTACTTTTAAATTATATAGCATACATTAATTCATTCAACCGTCCATAAAATAATTTAGTTCTTTGCTAATCTTATTTAAGCATGTTTTTTTTTCCTATTTTATTATTTCCTAATGTCTTTAACATCTTTAAAAATTTGATTTTTAGTGTATAGTTTATTATAATTATGAGGATAATCGAACTTTAAATATTGAATCGAACTTTAAATATTGCGATTTTGTAGCAATGTGTCGCTAGCTATATATCGTAGCTTTGTAGCTAGCTACAAAAATTCTACAAAAATATAGCTAGTTGATAGCTACATACCAAATTTTTTTAGACAACGACTTTATTACAATATGACGCTTGCTTCGATAGCCAGTGGGTCTTTAGCTTATTAAGCTGGCTGTCCTCTTGACCAAATGTCAATCTTTATCTTTACAAATATCGATAGCTTTTCGCTAACTTAAAAAAGCTAGCGATCCTCGTCGCCAAATTGCTGTCTTTATCGTTACACTTTTTAATTGAGACGTATTATATTTTCTGCATTAATTTAAATTTTTTGAACTAAAAAAATAGGTTTTAAAAAAAAACCTACATGGAAATAATCCCCCCGAAATAAATCCCCGAGGAAAATCTCCCAGGAAAAAATACCTCCCAAAAAAATGCTTGGTTTCAAATTTAAAAAATATATATCAGAACTTTTGTTTGTTAAGTATTTATCTAAAGCCAAATAAGTTGCAACATTAACAAGATTGAATCGGGAATTGCATTTTTCATATTTTGCATATTATAGTTTTATGGTTTAATACATAAAGTTTATGGTAAATGAATAGGCGGGTTATGACGCTCCTTGGGGAGCCGAACTTGTCTTTGCGGGCCTTGGTAATGTGGCCTCTTGCACCAATGCCATCCCATAAAAGAGAGTGGTAAATATATGGCTAACATGTGTTTCCCACACGTGGGCCACATAAAACATTCACGTACAAATGAAGCGTGACGTTCGTTCTTATTTAGTGTGGTTTTAGTGAGATAAACATTATAGCCACATATGAGACGCATCAACACCATCCCATTAAGGAGAGTGGTAAGCATATGATTAACATGTTAATGCCATATATGGCCCACTTTAAAATTTCTTGTCGGGTTGTGATGTCCTCAAATGATAAACGAAAGCTAACGGCTATTAGCAGTTTGATGCTGCTTACCTAACATGTAGGTTCTCAGAGCTAGATCTTATTCAAGGTAACTAAGATTCTTTTTGACAAGGTGAAAAAGTTAATCTATGAGGTGATGGCTATCAAACGTTTGGTACATTTACAGGGTTTTATTAAGCAAATTAAATGTGTCATTGTCTGTGCTTAAAAGAATATCTTACTGATGCCAGAACTTCACCGTAGGCTACAAGTATATTATGGACCCTGGTTCTTACATCCCTATGCGATGAGCAAGTTGACTTCAAACGACTAATAAAAAAAAATAAAAGGAATAAATCATTATTTATTATTTATTTATTTAGGTCCCCCAAGAAGACCTAACGGTCTTGTCACAGAGTACGGCGGAAGTCCATTTAACCAAGAAATTTACGCCTCCTTCCTTACCGTGACGCGAAAATATGTCCAAGGCTCGTTTCGAACCTGGATCACCTGCTTATAAAGCAAGTGCTCTAACCACTGCGCCACGGCCGCACAAGGTAAATAAATAAGGCTACCAGAATCAACAATGTCAAAAGCAATATACTAATACTGCTACAGTGAGTTAAAAGTTTATATAAAATTTTTTAACACCCTCTAAAGTTTTTTTCCAAAAAACTGTTAAAGTAACACCTATATTTAAATCAGGAGACAGTGAAATAGGTAATTCAGTCATATCAGTGACATAGGTAATTCAGTGAAATCAGTATAATAGGTAAGTTGAAATAGGTAATTTTAGGCCAATATCAAAACTTTAAACATTCTCTAAGATTCTTGAGAGAATTATGCGCAATAGGTTATTTATTAATTTTATTACTTTTTTAAATGAAAATAATCTTATTTATTCAAAGCAGTTAGATTTTCTAAAAAATACATTAACTGAACTGGCAATCCTTTACTTGGTTGAAGAAATAAAAAACTCTTCTACAAGAGAAGAAGTTACATTAGGTGTTTTCATAGTTTTCTCTAAAACTTTGATACGACCACAATATTTTATTATCAAAGCCTTATATGTATGGCATAAGGGGTAGATCCATCAAATGGATAGAAGGGTATTTAAAAAAACGTGTGCTGTATGTATATTACAGAGACAATAAACTCTCTAATCCGTCTTTAATAGAGCCCTCAATGATCAATACTTGGGCCATTGCTTTTCTTAAGCTATGTAAACGATCTATGTTTAATTCAAGTAAGTAACTTAATCTATGTTTAACTCAAGTAAAACAAAATTCTTTTTTCATCCTTTCCTTAAAAAAAAAGATTGCCAAATTTTCTTTTTCGAAATTGTTTATTGAAGTTAGAGAAACAAACTGGGAAAATTTTACTAAATTTTTGGGTGATTTTATTGACAAAATTTAAATTGAAATAAATATATCGCCTATGTAGGGTAGTAAGATATCGAAAAGCATCGGAGTTATATACCAGTCACATTACTTTTTAAAAAAACTCAAACAAATCTACAATAGCTTTGTTCAAAGTTATCTAAACTACGGTAATATGGCATAGGGTACCAATAAAACGAAGGTAGAACCTCTCTATTGTAAACAGAAGCATGCTACACGTGCGATTAATTTTAAAAATAAAAAAGAAATTCAAAGCCTCTTTTTGAACAAATGTCTTTATTAACATTGTTTAAATTGAATGTATATAATGTTCTAAATTTTATAAATAATAGCAAAATGCAAAAAAGTCCTTCAATTTTCTATAGTCTTTATAAACAAAAACCAGAATATAAATATTTATTGCACACAAGTAGTACACTGTTAGAGCCTTCATGCAAAAATAAGCTTGAGCAATTTTTAATTTCTTATCGTCCACCCCATTATCTGGAATAAGTTCTACTACTTAATTTACTTAAACGGTAGTGGTTTAAAAATCTTAAATGACTTTAAAATAAAATTTAAAAAAGAGTATTTTAAAATATAAAAATTTAGATACTGTTTTTTTTAAATTTATTCTCTTCATGCTTCTTAAATAACTTCTTATTTTTTAAAGTGAAGTTTATTTATTATTTGGTAAAACAACTTATTGATTATATAAATATTCACTGTTAACGAATCTTCATTATGTAATTACAAAGTTTTAATATTAAGGAACAAAAAATAAACTTAAAAGAAAAAAAAAAAGAAAAAAAAGATTAAGTCGAACAACATCAAAAATATTTAGTTTTGTTTACTGGAAGTATATATTACTAAAAGAGTTCCTAAAATCCATGATTTTTTTCCTTTAAAATTATTTAAAAAAAAACAAAACATGTTTTTCAAATATCACTTTAAGTTTTACAAATATCACTTTTACACGTATAAAAAACGTGATATTGGTATTTTTAGTCTATTTGGATTTTAGAAGGAGAAAAACTTGAAAAGTATTTTTTTTTCTTGCACGCTCTACTACGCTAAGCATAATACCATTTAATAAGGAAGTTCTAAAAGTTTAAAACCGGAAATTTATTTTAATAATACATTTTATTTGAATGGTAAAAATTTAATAAAGTAAGATAATAAACACTATTATATATAAATATTATTGTAAAACATCTTAAAAAAAAGTTATTACTATGAAACCAATGATATCATTTTGTAAGATAAAAAAAGTTTAATATTTGATCTGTTATCAAATATTGAACTTTGATTCTCAACATTAATATTCAAAATTCTGACGTAAATTTAAACAACCGGATTTTGTAACTAAGCATAAGCCAAATGTTTGCGTAAAACTGTATGCTAAGGTTATTAATAATGCCTTTCTATGTAAATAAATGTAATAATATTGTCTGCATTGTATAATGTATTATTGGGACTTTTTTTGCTATTATATTCCAACTTATTATTTTTAAATATATATTTTTCCAATTAATTTTAGATTTAAATTTTATACAAATACATTTATAGGGTTTTATTACATTTATTTTTACATTTATAGGGTTTTATTAAGCAAATTGAATGTGTCATTGTCTGTGCTTAAAAGAATATCTTACTGATGCCAGAACTTCACCGTAGGCTACAAGTATATTATGGACCCTGGTTCTTACATCCCTATGCGATGAGCAAGTTGACTTCAAACGACTAATAAAAAAAAAATAAGGAATAAATCATTATTTATTATTTATTTATTTAGGTGGTAATTATTATTAGTAAGTGGTATATATATTGGTATAACTGTTTATACAAACAATCCTACTTATTCCTTCCTTAAATAAAAGGACGCTGTTGGAACATCTCTAAAATAAGGATTTATTTGCGATCCTTTAAATTCTCTTTGTTGTTCTCCTCTGTTCCCAAATAAATTAAATAAAGACCTGTTAAAAATAAACTTTGCTAATTTTAATTCATCATATTGTTTTTGCAAATATTACCACTGAACTCTTTCTTTTTCAACACTTAACTTTTTAGTTAAGTTTAAAATGATTGTTCATAAGAAAATAATTTATAAATATAAAATTAACTTTAGAGCGCTAGTTGTTCCATAATAGAAAACATTAGCTGGGCTTAGCAATCCAAAAGTATCGTAGGTAATTTAAAAGATAAGTAATATACGATAATTATCTAATAAACTTTACTATACAAATCATAGTAGGTTACTATATAAGTAACTAATGCAATGTTATTAAGCTGTCACTAAAATATTAATTAAAATAAACCTTTCTCATAATGACTTTCTCATAACGGCAGATATAAAAACAACTTTGGTAAACATTATCGGCGAATTAATCTGCAAACAAGATAACTCCACTTTTTTGTACAATCTACTTTATTGCGGTAACAGGTTTTTTTACTTCTAAAAAATCATTGTACAAATGCATCATTTTATTTTAGCAATGATTTTAAATGCATAAAAATGAAAAAATAACAATAAAAGTCAATGTAAATGTAAATGAGCATATGAAATACTTTTATGTTGCTTCTGCACAGTTTCGTTTACTGGAGTTTTCTTGTTTGCGTATTAAGCCGTCGATATGCCATAGTTTGTATTTATTGCAACAACAAAAAAGTAGAAAAAAATTAAGCCATTTTCCGGTAAACAGTGTGACAATAATCTTGTTTACTTAAACTGCTACACAATTCTTTTTGAAATTTACATAATTTTATATTACCTAACCTAATTTTAAATTACCCAACTTAATAACTTTTGCTTTTTTAAAAGATTTACTTTGTTACAATCAAGAAATAGTGAATAATAAATAATTAATGTTAAGTTGTTGTATTATTAAGGTTACTAGTAGGTAACTAATAAGTTAAAAAAAGAAAACTAAGTTAAAATGCAATGGAACTAAACATTCGCCATTAAATGTATTAAAAAAAAACACTAATACTAAAATAATTGTAAAGAAAAAAAATGTAATAAATGTAAACTAAATGTGAGCAATATTGTTATGATAAATGATTTTGGCGAAGTAAGCAATTTAATTACGTTTAATCTTCTATTCCATTTAGAGTTTTTATAAATGAATTAAAAACTTTAAAAAAAGTTGTATGTTTGAAACTTTAAGAAAATATTTGAACGTAATTATTTATACCTATAAAAGTTATAAAAGTTAAGTTGGCATGAATTACGAGTATAATCTACTATGAATTGGTTGGTCATTTACAGAAGAATATTCATTTTTTGAACAAACAAATAGTTTTCAATGCAATCGACATTTTTTAAAACTGTAAACATATTAAATATAAATGGCAATCTTTTTATTTTTTAGAGTAAAAATTTAAAATGGCTGCTAGCGACACAATTAATACAAACACTTTTTCAATACCTGACTATTTGGTATTTGCAGCCACTTTAATGATTTCAAGTATAATTGGTTTATATTTTGCTTGTGGCGGAAAACAAACAAATACAAAAGAATATCTGATGGCTGGTCGTGAAATGCATTGGTTTCCACTGTTTGTGTCACTCCTTGCCTCCTACTTATCAGGAGTTACGCTATTAGGTGTACCTTCTGAAATTTTTACTTATGGGATACAATATATTGTGTTGTGTCTGTCGTATGTGTTTATAGTGCTTATAAGCTCGACAATCTTTTTACCGATTTTCTACAAATTGCAAATGGTCAGCTCAAATGAGGTATGAATTTAATTTGCATCTATTAACTTTTAAAGAGCTTTAAGGATACTATAATAAACGCGTGTTATTTTACTTACGTTTTAAGAGATTTAGGTTGAATGAAATATTCTACACTAATGCTGCAGCTTATGTTAATTAGTTTTCCTAGTTTCAGATATCTTTTCATTTAAAAAAAAAACGATTTAATGGTATTACTAAAAGCTGAAAAAAAAAAAAAAAAAAAAAATTAAAATATCATAATAAGCTTTGAGAGCTTTCAAGTATTTGTACTAGAAGTCATTTGTGTGAGATCAGTACCTTCCACAATAAGTCTAGCTTTTTTCAAGTATTACTTAATTTAAATTAAGAACGTTATATTTAGGAATCTAAACAATGAACCAATTGTCGGCTAAAATGTGGCATTAGTCGGTAGTCTGAAAATGTCGAACAACAGAGGCCAATTACAAAAAAGTTTTTTTTTCAAAATCAAGTTATTCAAGTAGTAATGTTTTATTACTTTTAGATTAACACCTATCACTTTAGAAGATATATATATATATATATATATATAACACCTATCACTTTAATAGATATATGTAACACCTATCACTTTAGAAGATATATATAACACTTATCACTTTAGAAGATATATATCTTCTAAAGTGATAGGTGTTATATATACCTTCTAAAGTGATAGATGTTATATATATCTTCTAAAATGATAGATGTTATATATATCTTTTAAAGTGATAGGTGTTATATATATCTTTTAAAGTGATAGGTGTTATATATATCTTCTAAAGTGATAGGTGTTATATATATCTTCTAAAGTGATAGGTGTTATACATATCTGCTAAAGTGATAGGTGTTATATATATCTTCTAAAGTGATAGGTGTTATATATATTATATATAACATTTATCACTTTAGAAGATATATATAACACCTATCACTTTAGATAGTATAGAAGTATTATATAAATTTTTTTAAACATCTTTGCTTCAAACAAGGCTGCGAGCAACCATTATTCAAGTTGGAAGTTATTGAAAAAGAAAAAATGAAAATTATTTTGAATTTAAAAAAAATTAAAATTAAACTTTTTAAAATTTAAAATTTTGAGTCAAAATTGCTACGCGTAATTAAGGCAATTTCAAAATATTTTGTCAGAACCGATTAGAACTAAGATCTATAGTGGGTTAAGGCACTTTTTTAAAAGATTTTAACTAAATTCATGTTAAAGCCGATGTGCTAAAGTGATCTAAAGACTGCAAATTGCTGTTCTTTAGATTCACTATTAGGGGTAGAAAAAAGGTTTCGAAAATTATATGCAAAAAAGAAAAGTTTTTTTAAATATTAAAAAAACCAAAAGCAAAAAAAAAAATATATAACATCTAAAACTTTTGTTTGGACATAATTCGCTGAGAAATCATGCTAATTTCAAATAAAAGAATTCGAATAATTTGTAAATCGCATTAACTACATCGAGCGGACAAGATATTTTTACCGTTACACGATTTGAAAAACTGCACGATATATTTTTAACCAGTTGTGTCAACTTTAATTTTGAAACATCTTGGAGGAAGGCTGCTGCTAAACATGAAATCAAAAATATATTCTGCTTTTTTCTAGTGGTCTATTTTGGGTAATTTCTTTTCTTAACAGCAACAGTTATACATTTTTACTCGTACTTGTACACAGTCTATCTTGTATTTGGCATAAACTTTTATAATCATGTTCAACCAAGCACTGAACATTATGTTTATCGGTAGAGTCATTTTTTTCAAAAATTTCAACAACTTTTTTTATATCTTCAAGTACCGTATGATTGTCTGAAGTTTACAAAAATTTATATAAAACAATTGAGATAAAATCTTCACTCTGATCTGGGAAAACGGCTCCAGGAAACCTTTTTGTAAGCTGTACCTTGGCTCTTTTAAATTTTTGGCCTTTTTTTTCAATTTCTGAGATTAGATATCTTTTCATTCTCAAAAGGGCTGATGTTAGGACCTTCAACATTTTTTTTAAATGTAAAATGAAAACAAAACAAACACCATAAATTTAACGTTCTTAAGAATCGATAAAGTGCTAAACGAAAAAATTTTTTTTTTTCTTATAAGCTAACTTTTTGGTGGGAGGCATATTTTTTGTGTTATCAACGCTTACTAATCAAAAATGCACACTGTTTGGGTAATATAATGCTATAATTGATTTTGTTATTAAATCAAAAAAACACTATTTACTTTCAAAAATATTTCGGTTTCCTCAATTTTTGAATCAAATTATCTCTAAAAATAAAAATCTCAAAAAAATAATGTTACTAAAATTTGTTACTGTCGTTAAGCTGTATTTCTACTTTTTGCAATAAACAAATAAAAAGTTATTGTATTTTAAGTCATCGGTTAAGCGATGAAAGAACATACACTTCAAACTTTTTTGTTGACATAAAACCTTAGATCTTTTTCTTTAGCCGCGTTTTATCTATTTTTTTTTTTTTTTGTTCCTTATTTTTACAATTTGTGATTTAATGAATATTTGATAACAATATATATATATATATATATATATATATATATATATATATATATATATATATATATATATATATATATATATATATATATATATATATATATATATATATATATATATATATTTGTTAACACTTAAACTTTTTAAACGTTCTCGTCTTGTCGTCGAAAAACGCTAACGCTAAAAAGTTTACGTGTTAACATTTTTTATTAATAAAATATTCTCAAAATAAATAAATAAACTTTATAATATAAAGTTTATTTATTGAAGTGAGATTTCAGATCCGAGCACATAGTATATAATATACTTAATATACTTGAAGATACCAAATCATACGGTTTTAAGATACCTTTAATAAAAGTTTTAAACAACTATTTACAAATTTTTAAATTATAAATTTCATTAATTCAATGTTTAATATATAGAGAAAAAAAAAAAAGAATTAAAAGAATATAGATATATCATCTTATAAAAAAATGACTTTTTTAAGTTTTTGTTTGAAAGAGTGATAGCTAAACTCTTGAGAAAACTATTTTATTCCAAAGTAATGCTCCTTATGGATATTTTGTGCTTAGATGTTGGATAGATGTATGGATAATATGCGCTCAGATGTATAGATATTATGCGCTCAGATGCGTTCAGATAATATGGGTAATATGCGCTCAGATGTTGAAGTGCTTATTGATGTGGGTTGTTTCTGTTACCGAAAAATTAACATTAATATAGCTACTTACACTTATTTTTCAGAAAGTAAAATTTCTTACGGCTTAAAATCAAAATCAGTTGTATCTTCAACTAAATTTTTGTTAGTAGCAATACTTGTTTTAGTTTGATCACACCCGAGCTTGATCCGATGTCAGCATTAGATAGGGTAATCTGTTCTGAATTCAATGAACCAAACTTATCTATGTCTAAAAATATTTATAAATTTTCAAAAAACAGGTTAAAAGTGGTTACATGTCTACAATCGTATAAATTAAAATAACAAACAAACAAAAACTACAGATTTAGCAGTCAAAGGACTGGTTTAAAATATCCGCGTTTTTTGACGCGTATTTTGACGTTGCGTTATTTCAATAATGCGGTATTACCCAAGTTTTTTTGACAAATGGTTTTTTTGAGAGATGGTTTTTTTGAGAAACGGACCAAGTTTTTTTGAGAAATGGACCTGCACATTTCTCATCATAATCAGGGGCGAGAGCTGTCACGCCGCCTGGGACAGCTATCCTAATTGGCGCTCTTTTTTATCAAATTTTCCTATAATTATATATGAAGGACTTTTTTTTTTAGGTACCTACATTTCATTTGGCGCCCCTTGGATATCTGCCGCCCGGGACAAACTGTCCGGGTCATAATGGCTGACTTTTTAAAGCTAGTTAAATCTTTGTTGACGGTTTGATGTCTTATAAGTATTTTTGTAAGCAATAACCTCTCAATTTTTTTAAACCGTTAAAATTGCAATGGAATACCATTTCCAAAGACAATAAAATACCTTGCGGAAACCTTTTATGCTTTGAGATTGAAGTACTTCAAGTAGGCCCCAAATTCATAAATGTGTAATTTTAGCTTATGATTTTTAGACTAAAGAGGGTTTTCCTCAGTTTTTTTTTTCTTAAGTAAGTTCTACATATACATCCCTAATATAAAAATAAACTAAGGATGCAGTTGTCTCATTGCCTTTAAATTTAGTTTAAAAATCCCAAAACCAAAAAAATGACTTTCCAAAACTTGAAAAGTCATTTTTTAAATTTTGTGATTTTTAAGCTTAATTTAAACTGCATCCTAATCTTTTCTTTTGTAATCCTTTTTTTCTGAATATTTATAGTTCTGGAAATATTCAGAAATATTCTATTTATAGCTCTGGAGCTTTGATTGGGTTATGACCATAGCTCAAGAACTGGAGTTCTGGAGCTATAGTTATACAAATCTATATATACATTTCTGGAGAATATTGGAATTCTGGAGTTAATTCTCTGAAGTTCTGGAGCTTTGATTAGGTTACAAATCTCTTATTTGTTCCTGTATGGAATACTGTTGTCATATTCGAGCTAGTTCTTCTAATAATACTGTTTCTCTTCTAGACAATATCCTAAAACACATTGTAGATGTAGTTGGACCTTGTCTATCTGCTAAGCTTGAGCCTCTTTCCCATCATCATAAAGTTTTATTCTTTTACTGTATCTGTCCCTGCATGCTCTAAACACTTTTATTCGTCTAGCTTTTTCCCCCTACTTTACCGCTTTGGAACTCTTTCCCATCTTCATGTTTTCTTGACTCATGTAACCTTCAACTTTTCAAGTCTTTTGTCAACCATATCCTTGCTTTATAATTTCTTTTTTATTAACTCCCAACTTTGGTTGCTTGCAGTCTTGTTGGAAGTAAATCAGAATAAAAAAAAAATAATCAAAAAATAACTATAAATATTTAGGTAACAAGTATTTTCAAGATTTTTTCTTCCCAATTTGCAATACTATATGAAAAATTTTGCATGATAGCATGATATTCCAAGTTTTATATTAATATAAACCTACATTTATATAAAATTTAGATTTGTAAACCAAATTAAATCTTAAAGAAATTCCAAAATGTAGGTATGGAACCAATAAAAAATAATCTACAAAAGAGTACTGTCTACTTTTAAATTAAGGTGATTTATACACACATTGCACACACATTGCACAAAATATTATTGTTTTTATTGATATCATTTTATTAATATTACTATTTTCACGATTTTTATATTGATATGTAGTTTCTTCAGGTACTTACTTTATATTTGTACTATTACAAATTTCTTTGAAATGTTACATCTTATGTTACATCTTACTATTATATTATTTATTTAGTACTTGGAAAGAAGGTTTACACCTGGTGTCAGATCATTAGGATGTTTTCTAGTAATGACACAATCTGTAAGTTCTTTTATTTTTAAATTACAAAAAAAAAAAAAAAAAAAAAAAAAAAAAAAGAAAAAAAAAAAAAAAACTAAAATAAAAAGTAAATGAAATATTTAAGTGACTAATTAAGTAAAAACTAAGTTTAATAAATGGTAAACTATTACTTAATAATAATTTAAGTTATTAAATAATATTACCTATCTTATAGCAATGTTATAGTTATTTTCCATTTATTGTATTATACTTTATTTATTGTTTATATTTTGTATTCAAACAAGTGAAAATAATCAACATTTTACCAGAATCAATGTCACATTTTTGTTAATAATGAAGATGATGACAAAGAACATCAGCATCAACATGCAAGAATATGCAAGAATCAAAAAAACAAAAGATGACATTTTTTTTTTAGACTGCAACTACATATATAATATTAATGGATTTTTAGTGGAGCTATATTTTTAATAATTTTTTAAAATTATTACTTAATGACAGAAATGTATTAAAATAAATTGTCAGATAAGTTCATTTCGATACAATCGATAAAGTGAAACATAAAAATTTTAATTCTTTTTATATATGAAAAAACTTTTAATGTTATAATTTAAAGCAATTGAAGCGGTTTCTATATTCTGTTTATTCTATTTCTATATTCTAAGTTCAGTTAAATAGTTTTTATAAATTGGTAAAAAAAAATTTTAGTTTTTAAATGTTTTTTTTAAAAAGTAAAATGTGCTTTATAAAATCAGCTTTTTCTTATAAATAAAAAAAAAGTTCTCAGTAAATTTGAAAAAAAAACTTATTTAATTCCGTACCATCTAACAATAAAAAAATAACAATTTTTATATGTAATGATATTCATTGCAAAATTTATCTATTTTACCTGGAAGAGGTTAAAAAAGTTTATTTTACTGGAACATTAAAAGTAGTAGTAATATTATTACTGTTACTTTTAATGTTCTGGTCACACTGGAAAATTAAAAGTCAAATTACTTGTAACAGCAAGAATGTCATTTATTATTTAAAATTTTGATGGATTGCCTGCCCAAACCAAAACAGTCAGTTAATGTATGAAAACTCCCTGCAGGTTCGTTTTATTAAAGTCAGTCAATGTATGTACACTCCCGGCATTTTTATCCTAACTAAGTCAGTCAATGTAAGAACATTCTTTGTATGTTCTCTATATTTTTAAGTCAGTCAGTGTATGTACACTCCACTATTCAAGTCAGTCAATTTATTTCAGTGTATTGTATTCCAGAACAGTTATCTATAATTCATTAGATTTAGGGTATTGGATTATTAGAGTAAGGTGTCAATAAAAAAATATAAAAATAAAAAAAGAAAAAATATACTTAAACAATATATAACAATTAAAAATAAACACAAAAACTTCATTAATTAAAAAGAATTTTTTAGTTTTTGCAGTTTTTCAAAAAGTTTAATATATAAAAAAGTTTTATAATAGTAACTTTTTTAAATGGTTTTCTTTTTTTGAAGTGTTTTATATTAATTTAGTTTATATTTTTTAGATTATATATATTTTTTGTAACGTTAAGTTTTTTAATTTTTCTTAGTTTTTAACTTTTTAGTTCAAAACGTATATTATTTTATTTACATTGAATATTTTAGATGAATATACTAAGTGACAAGAATAATAAATACTTTTGCTTCAACCGAATGGAGCCGAATGAATATATATCATAAAAAATAGTATTTTTGATAGTTTAGATATAAATTTATCATTTTAGGAAAATGATAAATTTTAAAATGATATATATATACACGGTTCTATACAATATATATACATACATACCAATATCTAAACATACGATATATATACATACATACCAATCTCTAAAAATTAAATAGTCTTTCATGACTAATTAAAAATATTATATTAAGTCTGCTTGGAATTATAAATATTATGATGTATGAACACCCCCTGCAGGTTCATTTTATTAAAGTCAGTCAATGTGTGTACACTACATAAGTACCATTACATTTTAGTTCACTAGTCACAGATTCGCTATTGTGCAATATCTACAAAAAAGTTGGATGTGGTAAATCAAGTTAAAAGAATTATGTCTAGATTTTTGAGAAGATTGTTTGATTATCAGGTAAGTTGTGAAGAACCATATGATTTCAGTGAGCAACTTGAGCACTAATATAAAAGTACCATTGCTGCAAGAATAAAAAAAAGTAAAGAGTTTACTTCAGTGAAGCCAACACAAAATTAACAACAAAAAAGTCTTACATATGCAAGAAAAACCATGTTACTAAAATGGTGTAGATATTAATTGAAATTAGCTTTAGGTCAATGGAATTATTTCTTTTAAACAGATGAGTCATCCTTTGTGCATCAAATAGTAATCTAGAAAGATCTGAAAAAAGAAAGGTGAAGCATATGAGTATACATATGCCATAGTAAGGCATACACCAAAAATTATAGTTTGGGGTGCATTAGCTGCTTAAGAAATAGAAAGCCTGTAAAAAGTCAAAAGAATCATGGACCTACATAAGTACCATTACATTTTAGTTCACAAATAAAACCAAGTATAACATGCATTTTTGGATAGAAATTATTATTTTTTTAACAAGAAAATGGCTTAAAATATTGACTAAAAGAAATTAAAGATATATGCAAAATGGTGGAATACCTACCTTTATCGGCCTACACAATCTTCTGATTATAATCCAATTGAGATTTTGTGGTCTATATTAGACGCTAATCGCAAAAATAAAAAATAAAAAAATACAGATGGATTATTTCTAATACTTCTAAACAGTTAGAGTTTGCTGGAAGTTACTATATGCAAAAGGCATATAGGCGTCAATCATAGGCTCGTAGATATCAATCATATGCAACTAAGTATTAAAACTAGTTAAATTTAACGAATGATTAAATTTATTTGTAGTTGCGGTGAGTGAGTAGTAACTTTATTAATTGTTCAGTATTTATCAACAAAAAAGTAAAAAATAAGAAAACAACCAATATTAACTTCCTTTTTAAAAAAATCAGAACTTTTCTATATTAGGCTATCTTTAACACTTTCAAAGTTTTGTTATAAATCCAACAATTTTTATTTTAAATTTTTTTAGTAAAAAATAAAATAATACAACATTTAGGAAATATTAACTACATAGTAAATTTTCAAATTTCATTTGTAGTTTTTTTAATTTTCTCAGTACAGGTAATGTAACTTCATGGAAGATGTGCAACATGTTTCTAAATGTTCTAAGCAATACTAACTTATCATTAATTGTCAGCTATTTTTTAAAATAATTTTTACTCAACTTTTTTTGTATTTGTATAAAGATTGTTTGCAAATTCTGTATATATGAAAATTTTCAGCTATAATAAAATATATAGATTTTTTGACAGAACATAAGTATACCTCTATGAAAATAAATAATTATGCTGATTGCAAATGGATTTTTTAGAAAGGTGTGAAATATTATTAATTTCAATAGGTGAATTAGTTTAAGATGCGACACAGAACTAGCTTAATTTATGACACAGAACTAGCTTATTATGCGACACAGAACTAGCTTAATATACGATGATAAATATAATATACGACAGAATCAACTGCAAGCAAACTATTCTGTTTTCACACTAGTTTGCATTGAATAATTTCTTCATTTTATAAATAAAAAAAACACAATAGTAGCAAATTAAGAAATGTATAAATTTGTTGGTTTATTTGTTTTAGATACTATATCTTGCAGTGGTATTGTATGCTCCAAGTTTAGCATTAGAATCAGGTAAATAAACCTTGAATCAGCTGATTAGGGTTATTCAGTAAAAGACTATTTAATTTATTTTACCAATTTAATAAAATCAATTTGAAATTAAGTTTGAAAATTATGAATAAAACTCCTTGTGTACTAAAACTCTAATTACTTTTTATGAAATGTTTTAGTAATAAGAAATTCAATGAGAGTATTTAAGTTTAATTTTTATTTACGTGGTTACAGTTAAGCGCTCAAACTAAATTTAAGTGCTGTATTAGTACCAAAACCATGTTTAACTTGTTTGTTTTTTCTTGACCAGGTTTATGGTTCTGAGAATTAACTTATGACACAGTTTATCTATTTTAAACTTTCTATTAAAAGTTAACTGCAGATGATATTTGTTTAGGACCGAATACTTACAGTTAAAAACTTAAAAAAAAATTACTTTACCATAAATACAATTTGTTCTGTAAAAAAAAATACATAAAGTAACAATTTATTAAAAATGAGATCTTTAAAAAGTTAAATTATGTAAATAATTAAACCAATAATATTAAAAGTTCTTACTTTGTTTGGTATAACGCTAAATTGAATGCCCCATCATTAAGTCAATTCAGATTGACAAAGTTTAATTTCTTTTTTATGAAACTTTTTTGATATTAATTTTTGCTTTACAGACTTTAGTTTATTGATGTTAATTAAGTTCACCTGGAATATAAATAACATGAGATTTTTTTAATTAAAATGTTTAACTGCTGGTCTAATTAAAATGCACAACAATTTTTAATATATTAGACAATAAATTTTTCTTCTGTAATGCTTTTGTAAGTTCTGCTGCATTCTGGAGTGTCAGTTGTCCTACCATCAGCAACATCTAGTCAATAACAAAATTTTCAGATATTTATAGTCAAAATGAATAAAACATGCAATATTTTATAAAAGAAACTTGCACACACACAAAAAGAAATTTAAAATAACTTATTTGATTACAAAATTAAAAAAGTGTTTTATTGTTTAAATAAAATAAACTTTTCTTGATGACAAAAAGGCAATAAGTTGATACAAGATTTAGGGCTTTTAGCAAACATTTTTTTTATATTTTTAGTTTTTTTAAAAATAATTTAAGCATGCTTTGTTTTTCTGGTTTTTCTCTAGAACACACCCTCATATATTACAAAAAGCGAACATCAATGAAAAACTGAAATAGCTCACATCTAGAACATGTAGTACATAGCTTTCTTGAGCTACATATAACAACCATCTAGCTCAAGATATAGCCAAACTTAAGCAAGTTTAACACTGAGCCACCAAACATGTCTACAAAAAGCACATACCCTACGCTCTACGGCTTTTAGTCTAAAAGTTGCTGAGTGTATGTTATTAAGACTGAAAGTAAAATTAACAGCAATACAAACATAGTTAACTTTGTAGTCTCTTAGCCTCAACAAAAATGGTAGCTTCAAACTACAGTTTTAAACCTTGTGGACACATAAAACAACTCAAACCACAACATGTATAAAGCTGTGCAAAAGAATTAACTTCCTTACCAACTGTGTGGTCAAACCAGGGAATGCTTGAATCCAAAACATGGTGAACTCAACTAATTTGAACAATTTCAAACATGAACATTCTTTACTATAACATCTTAACTGTACTTTGAAGGCTAAATTATTTTCATCACTGAGCAGCAAGGCATTCCGCTCTTCATTAATAACTTATAAATTTGATTGTTTATGCATAAATTAAACTTAATAATACCTATAGTTGTAATCTTAAGTTTTGTACATCATCAGAAACTATATCACAAAAAATAGTTTTAAATATTATAACAACAAGCAGAAATTAAAAACAAAAAGTAATATAGTAAACAAAGTTATGTAAGTTTAATGTGTATTACACACCCTGTAACCCTTTTTAAAAAGTGACATCAAGGAAGAATTAACACATTTTTTTACAATAATGTTTACAAAGATACTATTCTTGCTGTCAACCAGTTTTGCAGATTATGACTGAGTATTTTTATTTCAATGCGGAGCTTCTAATATCCTTACCTAAAATTTAATTAGGTTTTTTTATATCAGAATTTTCTTTTTTTCAGTTAATTTGTTTTCATCACTGCTTAGGTGATCACTCTGTATATTCTTCTTCCCTACTTCAAAGAAGTGGGTAATATTAACTGTCTTAGACACTGTCCATATATGGACTCCTGGAACTAAATGAACTACCATTTTCTTAAAGTGGTCAAATCTACAGAGTTATGCATGGAGTACTTGTACAGATCTTAGATCCTGCTTGTTGTTTGACGAACATTATAATCTTTTGATTTATTAAAGAGCAATCTTCTTAAACTAAAGCCAAAAATATCTTTTCCATGATTTCAGTGTCTCCATTTATAAAAAGTTCCTGCACATATATCTTTAGATAAATCACAAAGATCACATAGACACCACCAAGGCCCTGATATATATTTGATACTTTTCTGTGCAAACTGTTAGCAACAATCTTCACTTTGATATTCAAATGTTGACCATTAAAGATAATTGTAAAGCCTTCCTCTTTCATTGTTTTAATATTATTATTATTGGTTTTTGTATTGTGTAGCTGATTATACATTTTATTTTCTCCACTGCCATCATAGACAAATTTGATTTCAAGAATTAAATTTTTTAGTTCAGATCATTTTTAATCTTAAGAACAAGATTTTGTTGGACTCTGTAAAGGAGAGTAAACTCTAATATTTGTTGGACTCTGTAAAGGAGAGTAAACTCTAATATTTGTTGGACTCTGTAAAGGAGAGTAAACTCTAATATTTGTTGGACTCTGTAAAGGAGAGTAAACTCTAATATTTGTTGGACTCTGTAAAGGAGAGTAAACTCTAATATTTGTTGGACTCTGTAAAGGAGAGTAAACTCTAATATTTGGTGGACTCTGTAAAGGAGAGTAAACTCTAATATTTGTTGGACTCTGTAAAGGAGAGTAAACTCTAATATTTGTTGGACTCTGTAAAGGAGAGTAAACTCTAATATTTGTTGGACTCTGTAAAGGAGAGTAAACTCTAATATTTGGTGGACTCTGTAAAGGAGAGTAAACTCTAATATTTGGTGGACTCTGTAAAGGAGAGTAAACTCTAATATTTGTTGGACTCTGTAAAGGAGAGTAAACTCTAATATTTGGTGGACTCTGTAAAGGAGAGTAAACTCTAATATTTGTTGGACTCTGTAAAGGAGAGTAAACTCTAATATTTGGTGGACTCTGTAAAGGAGAGTAAACTCTAATATTTGGTGGACTCTGTAAAGGAGAGTAAACTCTAATATTTGTTGGACTCTGTAAAGGAGAGTAAACTCTAATATTTGGTGGACTCTGTAAAGGAGAGTAAACTCTAATATTTGGTGGACTCTGTAAAGGAGAGTAAACTCTAATATTTGGTGGACTCTGTAAAGGAGAGTAAACTCTAATATTTGGTGGACTCTGTAAGGGAGAGTAAACTCTAATATTTGGTTCAGGTAGGCATATGGTTCTTAGAGGAGTGATAGAGTTTTTGAAGTATTGATTTTTTATTCCAGTTAGGGTAAACATCTATATTGTAAGCATTTTCCTCAGTTTTCTGTATGTTAATCGACCCAATAGTAAATCACAGCAGATTGCAGCAGCTGGACTACTGTACTATGTAACAATATGTGCAGAATACAAGCAATTACTTCAAGAGTATATTGTGTTTTCGTTTAATCTGCTTGCTTTATAAGCTACACCACAATAAATGTTATAATTAATTATATAATTTTGAAGTTTAATAATATTTATTGTTTCTATCGTATCAATTTTATTAATGTATAGCTCAATGACTTGTGCAGAAATAATCTCAAAGGGAGTTGTAATTTTGCAATCATTACACCATGGAATTTAAGATATTCAGCAAAAAAATTTTATAATGTAATTAGTTTGAAATCCAAAATGGCAAATTCACATTAATCGAATTATTAAAATAATTTTAAGCTGTATCCTTATTTCCACCAAGTTTCATGCTTTCAAACAGAGCAAAACTAGTATTTTTTTTACTGTCTTAACTATTTAAGTAAAATAATTAAAACTAATTTATTTATTTATTGCAGAACAGAGCAATATTTTATTTCCATACTAATAATTCTGGATTCTTTGATTTTAAATATATGCACTTTAATTCACTGTATTTTGAAAAAATAAAACTGAAATTTTTTACTCTCTTTCAACATCAAACATCTCAAACATTTCAAACATCTTTCTAGATATTGAAATAAAATATATGTGCTTTAATGTACTCATATCATTCCCAATATTTTATTATTCTGTTGCTATTACATTACTGTCAACAAAAGTACATTTGAATAAATAATAAATTATTTAAAAAAATTTTGTAAACAAAAAATCCAAAATATATTATTTATATATATATTTAGTTAAAACTGTTTTAATTTCCATTATTAGTTGCAGGAATACCACTCACAGCAACCATTATTAGCACAGGTCTTGTTTGTACTTTTTATACAACATTGGGTGGAATGAAGGCAGTAATTTGGACAGATGTGTTTCAAGCTGGTATAATGGTGACTGGACTTGTTGTTGTAATGGTTATTGGACTTATAGAAATTGGTGGCTTTTCCAACTTGATTAACATAGCAAAAAAAGGAGAGAGAATGACACTCTTTGAGTATGTATTTTTTTGAATTAACAATGCTTTTTATATTTTTATAGTTTTATCAAGTTTTATTGTTATTGAATTTTAAAGTTTTATTTTTATTTTCATTTTTTTGTTTAAAAAACTTTATTTCATTATTTGAAAAATCAACTTTCAAACTCATTTTTCAGACAGTTTACTTATGATTGCTTCTTGGCTTATGATTGGCTTGTTTTTTTGTATTGTTTGATGCAAACTTGTTCTCAGCTCTCATTTTTGTTCAGACCTTTCATTATGTCAATTCATCATTAAATTCTTTTCTACTATTAGGTTCTCCTTATTACCCTAGTTTGTTTTTGTTGTTTGGTTTCATGTTTTTTTCTCTTGATCCTAGATGAATAATATCATGTTGTCTAAGCCTTTCTGTGTTGTTTAGGCAACAATTTTTTTAACTGGCCTATAAGCATTTTTATCATTTTGCAGAATAATAACTTTATCTGGCCTCCCATCATCCCATTTTGTTTATTTTTTAGTTTGAAATATTTTTTAGTTGAAATATTTTTAACTGTGTATTAATTTTCATTAAAAATGTTAAAAATAGTAACAAGCAACTTTTTTAGAGTCATACATTTTTTTTTTGCATTACTCTATAGTATTTCAGCAAAAAAATTATACAAATAACTGAAAAAATCACTATTACTAAAACAAATAAATGATATTCCATGTAGCAGTTCAAAAACATATGTTCAAAAACATATCTGTAAAAAAATAAAAAAATAATGATAAATAACAAATTTAAATTGCCTTAAATCCCTAAATTTCTCCATTTATATTATAAGGTAATCTTATAATATAAACGGAGAAAAAATTTGTTGCGTATGTGTCACAATTGCAATTCTTATTTTATTAATGTGCTCAGATAACTAGTCCTAATAAGTAATCCTAATGGTCTGAAAAAAATTGACTGAAACTTAATAAAGAAAAAATTTAATAAGACGGTCCTGCTACTTCAGAAGGTGCTGCTGTGGATGCAAAAAAAAAATGCCTGTAGCTAGAAAAAACTTTAAAACTTTCTTTTGACAATAAAGTTTTTTTTGCTACATTAATTTTGTGGAGATAATTAAATGCAAAATTTAAAGCTATGCTCTTTACAAAAGTCACTAAACCAAAAAAATTAAAAGTAATTGCAATTTAGTGTACTTGAAAACTTTAAGTATAGTATATTGGTGTTCACAAAGAAACATTGTATAAGTAATTTTTTAATATAAAATTTGTTTTCAACTTAGTTATAGATGCAGATTTGGCGCTTAGCCATCCCTATATAAACATATATAAACAAATATTTGTTATTTATTTATCAAAAAAAAAAGGGGGGGAGGGAGAAATTTATTGCATATGAGTCATGGTTGAGATACTTATGTTATTATTGTGCTCACGTAATTAGTCCTAATAAGCTGCAGATAGTTTGAAAGAACTTAATAAAGAAAAAATTTAATATATGGTACTCCAGAAGGTGCTGGTGTCTATAGCTTATAGCTAGAAAAAATTTAAATTTCATTTTAGCGATTAAAAGTCCTTTTTGCTATACTTATTTTTTTTACCATAAATATATTTAAACATTTTATATAAAAAAATATGTTATATGCAAATTTAAAGAATCCACTTATGTAATGTGTTATTCAGGATCGTTTGTAATATAAGAAAATAATATAAGTAAACTTTTCTAATAATTAAGTCTTTTTTTCTCAAACAAAAAAGACTTAATTTTTGTTTTTAAAAATTTTGAATTATTTAAAAAAATTGTCTTGATTGAAAAAACACAAAACTTTCTCATCCAAGTAAAAATTTTGAAAATTTGATTAATAGAAAATAGATTTGCCCCTCTCTCTTGATAATTTCTGTTAGCTAAACTTATGTCATCTTTTTCTTAGCATGGTTGTTTAGAAAAAAGCGAGGAGCTTTTGTTTAAAATGTTTTGGTTTAATTGAAGAGCTTAGTGCTAAAAGTACTCAAGTCACATAAAAACTGTTTTAAGAATTTACTTTGATCAGAGATATAACACTTTAAAATAAGAATCTAAAATGGCTGATCAAAGTAGATTTGCTCAAAACATTTATTTTGTGACTTGAGTACTTTTAGCACTAAGATCTTCAATTAAACTATTAGACGTGGCTTTTTCTTGAATCATTGAAGCCAAAGTTTTTTGCGTATGTGAGGTCACTTGGCACAAAACTAATTAGAAACAAAATTTTGTTAAAATTTTTTAACAAAGTTCCTTTTATTAAAAATACATAGAGAATATTTTAATGGGATTCTAATAAAGACTAAGTATAGTAGTTACTATGTTATTTCTTTGAAACTATTTATTTATTACTATTGTAATAAATACAAACTTTTATCCGTAAAATGATATATCAGTCCCAGTTTTATATCTTTTTGTGCAATTGTATGCACAATAATCTAAATTAATCAAAAATATCAGATAAATGCAAAAGCAAGCTTGAAGTATAAATTTTTTTTTTGCCACAAACTTTTGTCACTGCAAAATATTTTGGGCTTCATTTTTAGATAAGTGTTTTTTTGGGCTTCACTTTTAGATAAGTGTGACTATAGTTTTTAATGGTCTAAAATTTTCTTAGTTCTGCTACTTGTTTAGCATTATGTACAAACGTCTTTAAGTGTAAACATCTTTATCATATATTGAGTTTGCTGGCAGTATTTGGAACAATCGTGTATAATAAATCTATAAAATGAAAAAACTTTAAAATTTTATTTTAGCAATTTAAAATCTTTTTTGCTACATTTTTTTTTTGCTATAAATATATAAGCAAGATTGCAAAAAAATTTCAAAATTTATTACACTAAGGGAAGGTCTAATCTATCAAAGATATGCATTTAGGAAAAAAGCAAACCTAATTATAAATCTCTTATAAGTTCTATGTATGCAGATTTTTTTGATTTTAAAGCAATTTAACAGAATGAGCTATTTTACTAAAAAACATTGAATTAAATGAGGAATAGGTATAGAAATGATTAATGTGAAATAGATAAATATAGAAATGGTAGGTTTGGTAATGTTTTTTTTTTAAATCTTTATTTCCAACAAGGCTGCAAGCAACCACTATTAAAGTTGGAAGTTACTGGAAAAGAAAAGATGAAAATTTTAGAGCAAGATAACGATTAACAACTTGAAAGATTGCAAACTATATGAATCAGTAAGGCAGCGAATTCCAAAGCACTGATGTTTGTTAAAAAAATTAAACAAATAAGAGTTTTTAGAGGACAAAAAAAGGATGAGACTTATGATGAGTAATATGAGAATGAATTTCAGTAGATGACACAAAAGATGCTAGGTCTTTAGAGCAGTGCCCATTATAGTATTTGGAGAAAAGAGAAAGAGAAGCAACATTACAATGATGTGATAATGGTTGGAGGTTGGCTGCAAAAGCAGTTTCAACTATGTTTACAATGCATTTTTGCATATATAACCTAGCTTTGCAGACCTTTACTAGATCTTCCTATATTTATGAATGGTAATGTACTCAATGAGTCATTTATGCTTTATCTTCTAGGATTAACTTTTACTTCCAATCTTTCTTGGAACCCTATATATAAAATCTGTTGGAAAATTAGCATCTACTAAGGTTGCATCTCTATATCGAGCTCAACACTTTTTAACTCTGGATTCTATCCTTGTCTAAAAGAGAAAGGATATCATTAGAAGATCTGCCCTAGATATGGCAACAGTATTTCATACAAAGCCGAATTTGAGGTTTATAGAGACAAAGTATAGAATCCAGAGTTAAAAAGTGTTGAGCTCGATAAAGAGATGCAACCTTAGTAGATGCTAATTTTCCAACAGATTTTATATATAGGGTTCCAAGAAAGATTGGAAGTAAAAGTTAATCCTAGAAGATAAAGCATAAATGACTCATTGAGTACATTACCATTCATAAATATAGGAAGATCTAGTAAAGGTCCGCAAAGCTAGGTTATATGTATAAGGAAATAGTATAGAGAAGGTTGATGTAGAATAGATTTACAAAGACCCGTATTTTTATGGGTTTAGTCATATATGTATATATATATATATATATATATTTATATATATATATATATATATATATATATATATATATATATATATATATATATATATATATATATATATATATATATATATATATATATGCAACCCTCTCATAATTATCTTGTAACAAAATTTATCCAATTTGAAGATACTAAAATGGGTATAGTTGGCAATCCTGATGTTAACATTCCAGTAGAAATAAAGTAAATAGTTAGTTTAATAAATTTTTAAGTAAATATTTAAGTTAGCAATTCCGATTTAAAATATCATTTAGCATCTTTCTTTCACGTCTATCTTTGGAATAGCCATGCATTTAGTCATCTTAATGGTGCTTCCATACTATGGCTATTGCGTTCATAACTAGACAAAATTGTTTAATTTTCTTTTAAGTTGGTGCACTTTGTTTTAACAAATTGTACCAACTTAAACACATCAAAATATGATTCATACCAGTTAAAAGTTAAATATAATATACTATACTCATATGAAGTAAACAGAATAACAAAACATATTTTTATTGATTTTACTAATAAACAAAAAAAAGTTAAATTTAAACAACTCAAAATTAGTAATAATTTATATTAAATAAAATTATCTCATAATCCTAGCTACAAAGAATAAGATTTCAAAATCAATGAATAATGGAAATGACTATAGTTCATCATGTTCGTTATCATACTTAAAATGGTACGTTGTTTGTTTCCTATTTATTTTGTCAATTTCTATCACTTGTGCATGTTCTATTCATTTGGTTTTGTACGTATGATTAAACTAAAAATGGCAGTCACTTTCTGATTCTTATTTAGTAACAGGGACATTAGAAGCTGTCTCTAAATCAGATTGATTCTAATATTTACCACCAGGTAACTGATCAGCACACTGATGCTCCAAAATAACAAAAATAGCATGAATCACTTCAATTGATTGCACAGTCAAAGAATCA